AGTAAGGGGGTTAAGGGAGAGTAAAGGGTGGTCAGGAAGGTAAACAGTGGAGGGTAAATTGGTTAAAGGGAGGATGGAAGTAAGGTTAGGGAGGGTAAATGGAATAAAGGGAGGGTAGAAGTAGGGTAAGGGAGAGTGAGGTAGTATCAGGGCGGCCCAGGGTGATTGGTCTCCTTCACAAAGTTAGCAAGATTATCTGTGTTTGTCGGAGGTAGGGAAGGAGGAGGAGGAGAGGAAGAGGAGAGAGGGTGAGGAAGGGGGCAGGAAAGAGGAGGGAGGAGGGGGGGAGGAAGGGAGAGAAGGGAGAGGGAAGAGGAGGAGGAGGGAAGAGGGAGGAGGGGAGAGGAGGAGGTGAGGAAGAGAGGAGGAGGAGGGAGGGAGAGAGAAGAGGGAGGAGGAGGGGAAGAGGAGGAAGAGGGGGAGGGGGAAGAGAGAGAGAGGGGAGGGGGGAGAGGAAGAGGAGGAGGAGGGGGAAAGGTGTAGGAAGAGGAGGAGGAGGGGGAGAGGAGGAGGAGGGGGAGAGGAGGAGGAGGAAGGGGAGAGGAAGAGGAGGAGGAGGAGGAGAGGTGAAGGTGGAAGGGGAGGGTGAGGAGGAAGGGTGTGAGGAAGAGGAGGAGGTGAGAAGGAGGAGGAGGAAGGAGATGGAGAATAGTTTTGTTTTGTGGGAAGCGAGAGAGAGAGAGAGAGAGAGAGAGAGAGAGAGAGAGAGAGAGAGAGAGGCTCGCCCACTCAATTAAAAAAGGGAGAAGAAAGGCTGACACTTCGTTGAGTATTACCAGGGGAGATTAAAGGGAGGGTAGGGAGGATAAAGGTAAAGGGAGGGTAGGGAGAGTAAAGAGAGGGAAGGTAGGGAGAGTAAAGAGAGGGAAGGGAGAGTAAACGGAGGGAAAGGGAGGGTAGGGAGAGTAAAGGGAGGATTTGTCTTGAGCCGCCAGCCATATGTCTAAGAGGCGCCAGCTGGGTGTCTAGTTATGGCTAAATAATGGTGAAGTTAATGGTGGAGGGAGTGAGGGAAGGGGGAGAGAAAGGGGAGAGAGAGAACACACACACACACACACACACCCATACATACATACATACACACACACACACACACACATACATACATGTTATTACATACACACACACACACACACACATACACACACACACACACACACACACATACATACATACATACACACACATGGTAATAGTAATAAGATAATGGTAATAATAATAATATATTCCCTACAACTGCTAATAACAACACCACCACCACCACTAATCGTAATCTCCACTACACACAGCTTGGAGGATTGGATGAAGAAGTGCGTCAGCTGCTTGACCTGAAAGGCTACACCGGCCACCGTGACCTTGATCTCTTCAAGGGTCAGGTCAAGGAGCAGCAGCGAGTAGGAGCTGACGGTGGTGCTAAGGTCAAGGATCATCAAGGTAAGTCCTACGTAGGATTAAGGGGATTAGGTAGGATTTAAGGCTTAGTTAGGTTTTAGTAGGATTAGTTAAGATTAATAGGATTAGGAAGGGTTAGAAGGATTAGTTGGGATTTAGTATGATTAGTTAAGCTTAGTAGGATTAGTTAGGATTAATAGGATTAGTTAAGCTTAGTAGGATTAATAGGATTAGGAAGGGTTAGTAGGATTAGTTAGTATTGGTAAGAGGAAACAATGGTACGATTCCATGGCATTGATTGGAAATATAAATAGGAATCATTATTAAAGATTGGAATCATATTAGGAATGACTTACTAATGACTGGAATGATTTTAGGAATGACCACTGACGATTGGAATGATTTTAGGAATGACCACTGACGATTGGAATGATTTTAGGAATGACCACTGACGATTGGAATCACCTGGAATCATATTAGGAATGACTACTAATGACTGGAATGATTTTAGGAATGACCTTTAATTGGATTGGACTCGTCTGGAATGGTTATGAGACACGGTTGGAATGCCAGATCTCCAGGAATCACTCTCACGCTTGATGTGTGTGTGTGTGTGTGTGTGTGAGATTGTGTGGGTGTACGTGTGTGTGTACGTAATAACCTCATATGGCGTTTTAACGTGATTCCCTCCGAGCGTTCGTTAATGCGTTGACTTCGTTATGTTAATACCTATCTGACGTAGAGAGAGAGAGAGAGAGAGAGAGAGAGAGAGAGCATCAAAATACCTAAGATAAACAGAGGAATGTACCCCAAGGTCTAATAAATAGGAGATGAGGAAGGACAGATAAATATGCGATTATGGGGGAGAGAGAGAGAGAGCAATAAACCAGAGGGGAAAGACGCAGGAGAATAATGAAAGAAGATTATTGAAGTAGGGAAGGAGAGAGAGAGATTAAATACAAGCTTTCCACCACCTCCACACCTGCCATTAACCTACACACCTGTATCTATCTATCAACAGGTGTGGGTGGACAGATGTCTCTAGTCAAGTCACACAAAGAAACACTCACACTTAAGGACGGCGTCAAGGACCAGCACTCACACTCAGACCAACGAGGCGAGTATTAAGGTCTATTAAGGTCTATTTGAGTTTGTGATCTATTGGGGTCTACTTGGGGGCTTTTGAGGTCTGTTTGTGGTCTACTAAGAGCTATTGAGAATCATTGTACCTGTATTTCTCACCTGTAATTACTACCTGTATTTCTCACCTGTAATTACTACCTGTATTTCTAACCAATCACTGTATCACCTGTACATACCTGATTTCTCAATTCGTAATTACTACCTGTATTTCTCACCTGTAATTACTATCTGTATTTCTCACCTGTAATTACTACCTGTATTTCTCACCTGTAATTACTACCTGTATTTCTCACCTGTAATTACTACCTGTATTTCTCACCTGTAATTACTACCTGTATTTCTCAAGATCCCATGACGTAATTTCAATACAGTTAAAAGGTTTTGTAATCTGGTGACAAAATTGCAGCCACTTATTGTGATCGTCAACATCATTTAAAAGGCATTCAAGATGGGGCCCATTAGAACGAGGGGCCCATTAACACTGGGGCCCATTAGCACTGGGGCCCATTAGCACTGGGGCCCATTAACACTGGGACCCATTAGAGCGAGGGTCCAGATCCCAGTACCCCCGTGAGAGCTTATCTCTTTATGCTTCAGAGAATGTGTCAGGCCGAGCGACTTACTTTTTCCAGAGAGAGAGGAGTGGGGTGTGTTGAGGTGTGTGGGGTGTGTTGAGAGAGTGTGGGGGTGTGTTGAGCGAGTGTGTGGGGTGTGTTGAGCAGAGTGTGGGGTGTGTTGAGAGAATGTGTGGGGTGTGTTGAGAGAGTGTGGGGTGTGTTGAGAGAGTGTGGGGGTGTGTTGAGCGAGTGTGTGGGGTGTGTTGAGCAAGTGAGTGGGGTGTGTTGAGACGAGTGAGTGGGTGTGTTGAGCGAGTGTGTGGGGTGTGTTGAGCAGTGAGGTGGGGTGTGTTGAGAGAGTGTGGGGTGTGTTGAGCGAGTGTGTGGGGTGTGTTGAGAGGTGTGGGTGTGTTGAGAGAGTGTGGGTGTGTTGAGAGAATGTGGGGTGTGTTGGGAGTGAGTGGGTGTGTTGAGAGGTGTGGGGTGTGTTGGAGAGAGAGTGTGGGGTGTGTTGAGCAGTGTGTGGGGTGTGTTGAGGGAGTGAGTGGGGTGTGTTGAGAGAGAGTGTGGGGTGTGTTGAGAGTGAGTGAGTGGGGTGTGTTGAGCGAGTGTGTGGGGTGTGTTGAGAGAGTGTGTGGGGTGTGTTGAGAGAGTGTGGGGGTGTGTTGAGCGAGTGTGGGGTGTGTTGAGCAGAGTGGGGTGTGTTGAGCAGGGGGTGTGTTGAGCGAGTGTGTGGTGTGTTGAGAGAGTGTGGGGTGTTGAGCGAGTGTGTGGGGTGTGTTGAGTGTGGGTGTGTTGAGCGAGTGAGTGGGGTGTGTTGAGAGGTGTGGGGTGTGTGTTGGGGCGAGTGTGTGGGGTGTGTGGGGTGTGTTGAGAGAGTGAGTGGGGTGTGTTGAGCGAGTGGGGTGTGGTGAGCGAGTGAGTGGGGTGTGTTGAGAGTGTGGGGTGTGTTGAGCAGTGTGTGTGGGGTGTGTTGAGAGAGAGTGTGTGGGGTGTGTGTGTTGAGCGAGTGAGTGTGGGAGTGTGTGTGAGAGAGTGTGTGGGGTGTGTTGAGAGAGAGTGGGGTGTGTGAGAGAGGTAGTGAGAGAGTGGGGTGTGTTGAGAGAGTGTGAGAGAGAGAGTGTGGGGTGTGTTGAGAGAGTGTGTGTTGAGAGGTGTGGGGTGTGTTGAGAGTGTGAGTGTGTGGGTGTGTGTTGAGAGAGTGTGGGTGTGTTGAGCGAGTGTGTGGGGTGTGAGCGAGAGTGTGGGGTGTGTGAGCGAGTGAGTGTGGGGTGTGTTGGAGTGGGGTGTGTGAGAGAGTGGGGTGTGTTGAGCGAGAGTGTGTGGGTGTTGAGAGAGTGTGGGGTGTGTGAGAGAGTGTGGGGTGTGTTGAGAGAGTGTGGGGTGTGTTGAGAGTGAGTGGGGTGTGTTGAGAGTGTGGGGTGTGTTGAGAGAGTGTGGGGTGTGTTGAGCGAGGTGTGTGGGGGTGGTTGAGCAGTGAGTGGGGTGTGCTGGAGAGTGTGTTGAGCAGTGTGTGTGAGCGAGTGAGTGGGGTGTGTTGAGCGAGGTGTGGTGTGGGGTGTGTTGAGAGAGTGTGGGGTGTGTTGAAGAGTGTGGGTGTGTTGAGAGAGTGTGGGTGTGTTGAGCAGTGAGTGGGGTGTGTTGAGAGAGTGTGGGGTGTGTTGAGTGAGTGTGTGGGTGTGTTGAGAGAGTGTGGGGTGTGTTGAGAGTGTGGGAGTGTGTTGAGAGTGTGGGGTGTGTGTGAGGAGTGTGGGGTGTGTGAGTGAGTGTGGGGGTGTGTTGAGCAGTGTGTGGGGTGTGTTGAGAGAGTGTGTGGTGTGTTGAGAGAGGTGGGTGTGTTGAGAGAATGTGGGGTGTGTTGAGTGTGTGGGGTGTGTTGAGTGTGTGGGGTTGAGAGAATGTGTGGGGTGTGTTGAGCAGAGTGTGTGGGGTGTGTGGGTGTGTTGGGTGTGAGCGAGTGTGTGGGGTGTGTTGAGCGAGTGTGGGGTGTGTTGAGGTGTGTGGGGTGTGTTGTTGAGTGTGTGGGGTGTGTGTTGAGTGTGTGGGAGTGTGTGGGGTGTGGAGCGAGTGTGTGTGAGCGAGTGTGTGGGGTGTGTTGAGCAGAGTGTGTGGGGTGTGTGTGAGCGAGTGTGTGGGGTGTGTTGAGCGAGTGTGTGGGGTGTGTTGAGAGAGTGTGTGGGGTGTGCTGAGCAGTGTGGGTGTTGAGCGAGTGTGTGGGGTGTGTTGAGCGAGTGTGTGGGTGTGTTGAGCGAGTGTGTGGGGTGTGTTGAGCAGTGAGAGTGTGGGGTGTGTTGAGCGAGTGGGTGTTGAGCGAGTGTGGGGTGTGTGTTGAGCAGAGTGTGGGGGTGTTGAGAGGTGTGGGGTGTGTTGAGCGAGTGTGGGGTGTGTTGAGGAGAGTGTGTGCTGGAGTGTGTTGTGTGAGGAGTGTGGGGTGTGTTGAGAGAGTGTGGGGGTGTGTTGAGAGAGAGTGTGGGGTGTGTTGAGAGAATGTGTGTAGGTTGTATGTTTGTGAGATGGAGGGAGGGAGAAAGAATGTGTAAGGTATGTATGCTGGTGCGTGTATGAGAGAGAGGGAGAGTGTGTGTTATAGTAGAGTCAGTGTAAAATCAACGCCATTTACACTATAACGAGAACTTAACTAAAGACCTGTCAGATACGAGGGAAATTTTAACTTAGGAACTTTCAAGAACTTAGATTAGTGAACTTATTAACTTAAAACTTTGGACAGGCAGACGAGTTCATTAAACTAATCTTTCCTGCGGTAAAGAAAGTTGAGGTAGGGGTTAATTCTTTAAGTGAAAATACTTTTACCCGAGAGAACATAAAAATGGAGGAAACTGCAGCGGGCCATACTGGGCAGTCCCGTTTACACCCAACTCCGATTGCTCATATATCCACCCAACCTACTGTATGTGTGAAGCTATCCAGTGTGTTCGAGTTAATGATCATGTTTGGTAACTTGTTCCACTCATCCACTACTCGATGTCAAAACCAGTGTTTACCTATCTCGCGCCTAAATCTAAATTTGTCTAATTTAAAACCAATGTTAAGAGTTCGCTCCTGGTTGGATAGTTTGAGTACATTTGCTATATCACCTTTGTTCAGTCCTGACTTCCATTTATACACCTCTATCATATCGCCCCTCGCTACGTCTCTATAGAGTGCAAATTAAGTTGCTTTAACCTGTCTCTCTACTCAATGTTCCTAATGCCCGGGAGTAGTCTTGGCATTCTCCTCTGAATTTTCTAGGGATTCTATATCCATTCTGTAATACGGTGACCAGAATTGAACTGCGTAATCCAAGTGAGGTCTCAAGCGCAATATAAAATTTAAAGATCACCTCACTAGTCTTGTAACTAACCCGGTACTTCGCAGTCGAATTTCTCTAACAATGTTGTTCATCTGATTATCTGGTTTCTCTGTTTACATCTGCCATTTTTCAGACCTAGGTACCGTACCTAGGAATCACAAAGAATTTAGGTTTTCATACCTTCCTTGTCAGCCCTGTTCCCGTCCAATTCGTCTACCAAAGAACTAAAAAAGTTAATTCACTTACCTGTTGTCGTTTCCTGGTCTTTCTTCACCACTAGTTTGGTCGTTCCTCTCAACCTTCCATTGGCCTGTGTCGTCACTCGCCTCGTTTCATCCTCAATCACTTCCTTTAATTTCAAATTTTCGTCTTTGACCTTCACTAACTCGACCGTCAGAAGGGTACACAGCTGTTCAAAACCAACACCAATCATTACGCCGACAGTTAATCCCCGGGAGCTATGTCGGCCGTGACCTTTCCTCTACAGAGGTCAGCACACTACTGATTGATGGGCTGTGAACTTGTGTGACGGTGGACAGAGTATGTGTACTGTTGGGGAGGATCTTTGTCGATGGATCTCCTCCCCCCTCCACAGGTGCAACACATCAGCAGACGACAAACGGCTCCGAAGATTTCAAGCCTGACTGGTGGAACATCTTAGCTTAGTGTTTTATGTAACACTAAATAATAATAATAATAATAAACGGTTTATTAATACTTGCAGCCGGTGGCTGAAAATTTACAAACTTGCATTTGATTTAGACAATGATATGCGTTCAATACATTTACAGGGCTGTCCAGTACATAAATCAGGAGTATGTGCGTGTGACTAACCGACTTCACTCAATAATTCCTAATATAGATTATTCAGTGGTGTTCTTGTCTGCCAATCTTTTTTGTGCCCCCTCCGCGAGTTTTCTTGCGTGGTCTGAGGAGGACGGCTAATTTTCCATACGTTAGGTTGTCCAGAGCACACCTGTTCGGGTTAGGTTCGTCCCGTTACACCCTGGAGCTCTTACTGAAGCCAGGTTAGTCTCGGTTACGTCAGGTTCGTCTAGGTGAAGTTATGTTTGGTTAGGTCAAGTCAGGTTCGTCCAGGTTAAGTTAGGATCGTCTGGGAATAGGTATAAAAATAAATACTCCAATTCATAACCAAACCAGTTGTCTACTTTACCAGAAAATTCCCTCAGTTGATCATTAGACTAAGTAGTCTTGGCAATCTTGTCTGCTGCCTCGTCAGATTAAATTATATCATGGCAGCACCAGAGCAAGCTATAAGGGTAGTCAAAAACTATATAGCAAATTACTTTTTATTAAGTTCAGAAACAATTAACAATACTTAAGGTTATGTACTGTAGCTCACTCTAAATATAACTAAGCTAGATACAAACAAGACAATTTAGGCCACAATTATACATAACAGTAAGGCCAGACATGATCAGGGCGGTACCAGACTGTAGAAAGGATTCACATACGGATCTACACGTGCACTATGAACAGCTTGGGGTAAATCATGTAATGTAAATACTGGGTCACAGGACAGGAGCAGTTTGTGCGTCAACATATTTCGAACAACCGACGTCCAATTGTCAGGTGGCAGTGACGCCGACCCATTACGAGCCAGGTAGGTCACCGTACCTGCTCTTAAGGAGAATTGTGCAGTGGAGCGGTGAATTCAACGTCAGTAAGTCGACAGAAGAGAACCTCCATACGGATTAGTTCAGCCCAGGAATCTGCAACAAAGTCAAGAAAACAAAGGGTTAACTAAAGAACCTGAACAATATTTCATTACTCAGGACGGTTTCAAGAGTCCTTACTAAGACCAAAGGGAGGGACTAAATATTGAACGGATAAAATGGGGTAACAGGACATTACCGGTTTCCTTTATTTAACAACACTGATCTATTTTAGTTACAAACACGGCTTCTTGGCCAACAGTTCAAGGTGTATCAAAGGAGATATACCATCTGGTCTACTTACACCGGGAAACTAGCGTGTAGGGTAGTTCTTTCCTCGGGAGGCAGACGGTGAAGCCCTCAAGGACGACCTCAGCCATAACGCCAACTCGGGAGTCCAGACGATATGGGGCCTGTAACAGTTAGACATTAGCATACCAATTCGATAACCCCGATTACCATTACATCTTGAGCAGCCGAGTGGTCCGGAATATTGTTAAACCCCTACAATAACCTTCTCTTTGACTACAGAACGAGGGTTTAAAGAGTGTACCTCAGAAAGTACATAGGAAATGCACTAATTAATTCCTCATTGAAATTTGAACAAGGAAACTAAACTTCTGCATATGGCGATGACAACTATAACATTTGGTTTAAGATTCATCTGAGGTCTACCACGTAAGTTCATAATTCTGTTTATATAAAGAAAATCTTCGGTGGCAAATTTATATTAAAGAACACGCTTCCATTTCACTTAGCATGCGACTGACGCAAGTACTGTATGCCCCACCAATCGGCGTCGATCTGTGCCACGTGATACTCTGCGCATGCTCCGGATACTAAATCATGATCAGAAACAGTCTTTGCTAGCAATATTTTTCGATGCACCCCGTGGGCTTCCTCAGCTTGGCAAACAATTCATCGTGTACATAATTTTCCTGCCACCGACCTTTTAAACCAGCGGTATTTTACCAACCTGTGTTGTGTGGAAAGTGGTTGAGACTGTCGTTGCCGTCGAGACTAAAACACTCACTGTGGCTCGTGTTCAAGGTACCTACGCCTTGTACCATCAACAACTAGATATTCTGAAATGAATTTACCAGGAAATACTTTAATAGAGATGCGTTGTAGAAAATTTATGTACAACATTCCACGGTCGTCACAACTGTACCATAAAACCCAAGATAACTGGATCCAAACTTATTTTAAGCGGCCACATCACTTAAATAAACACTAACGTAATATTAACGCGCAGAAACACGAGTACTAACCAAAGTTATTAACAAATGCTTCACTATAACACCGCCTTAAATATACCAGGAATAAACTAGCATTTCCGTAATGGTCACCGAAATTAATCTTCAGACAGCAAGGACATGTACCGGCCAGTCGTAGGTTACGGTCTCCAGTCCTTCGCTAAACTACTTTTAAGCCAAGCTCTTCTCGCCTAGAGTAGTTTAGGAATTATCTCACCTATAACTTAACCTTTTCACCATAAATATAACGAACACTAAATTAAATAGACACACTAGTATAACACCCTACATAGAATCAAAGCCAACACTAGACAAATACCAGACTAAAAATACTACTATACAATACTTAAGATACTGTAGAGATCTGTGGTAATACTCGAGCTCCACCACACACGCGAGGCCTCTTGCTCACGCCAAGTTCTGGTACAGACTAGTAAAGAAAAAAAAATCCCAGCCGGTTCTCTTTATATAGGGGCAAACACCGGAGAGTTGGGGGGGGGGGCTCAAGGAGTAACAAGCGTGAGGGTAGTTTAGATTATTAGGGAAGAGCAGTTCATAAGGACGGAATTTGTACAGGGGGTATTGGGTGACTCGTCCTTATAGACCCTTCCTATAACAGCCTTTACGATATTTATACTTTGAAATTTACTGTACTAATACAAGATACAGTAAACTACAACACGATTCAGTCAGATACAACAAAATACAACATATTACACTAACATACAGCAAAATACAACACGTTACATTAATATACAGTAAAATACAACATATTACACTAACATACAGTAAAATACAACACACTTCAGTCAGATGCAGCACAATACAGAAGGTAAGAACACTATCGACACTGTAATAACAATATTCACGACCTTGAGAGACACATTCCTATGTATTGACGTTTTAGGCCAATATTTTTGTCTCGTCAATATTATTAGAAATATTTAGGTGTAATTTACCTTCAATACCTGTGTTGTGAGTGTCTGTCTGTCTGTCTGTTTGTTTTTGTGTCTGTATGGTATCTATCTATGGGTGTGTGTGTGTGTGTTTAGATGACAAGTTGCTGACCTCAAGAGACAGTAACTCCTCCTCGGGGCCTCATAGGTCGGCCTTAAAGGTACACCTCGACTGTTGGCTGGTGAAGATTGTGTTTATTTAAGTGGAGTGAGAGACCGACCCGACCACCTGTGGCCCTTACTTGTGAATAATGGAACCTCTCACCTGGGGAGTCTTTATCCTGTGTTGTCAGAACCTATCCTTACCTTACCTATCCTTACCTTACCTACTTTAGTTTAGCCTGAATTAACCTACCACTACCACTACTAGCAACTCCACATTCACCACACGACCACATTAAAGGACAACTTAACTCTCTTCATCTCCTGGGTCACATTTGTTGTCCCTCACTGAAAAAAGATTACTCCCATGACCTTCTCACCATGTTGTTCCCAGCGGTCCCGGGAGGGTACTTAGGGAGACTACCTTACCTGTCTGTCTGTCTGTCTGATTAACAAATGGTGATGGAGTTGTAATTTGCGTTATGTCTTTCCTAGCTTCTGATTGGCTGAAAGGTTTGTGAATATTTCCTTTGGGACACACACACACGAGATAACAGATGGAGAGGGTAATCGTGGTGGTAATTGTGGTAGGTATTGTGGTGGTAATGGTGGTAGTTACTTAGAATAGGAGATAATAATGGTGACCACAGTTCTCCTCCACCTCGTCCTTCTCCTCTCCCCCCCCCTCCACCAATACCTACATAGCACATTAGTCGTGTAAATTTGATACACAGGGCAGGAGGTTAGGTTAGGTACGTCTTCCTGACTCTTGTGGGGGAAGGAAGGGGGGGGGGAAGGAGTGAGAAGGGAGGTAAGGAGGAAGGAAAGAAGGGAAGGAAAGGAGAGAAAGAAATAAGGGAAGTGAAAATGGAAGGAGAAAGAGAAGGAAGGGACGAAGGAGAGAGTCATCAATTACATTACTAACCTTATCAATGTCACCTATTAATTAACCTTATCACTTACCTGTATTAATTACCTGTCTCTACAGTAACTACAAACGGCGAGTTATTAAGTCACACAGCCAGTGATCTCGATCGCCACCAGGAGCAAGGTCAGCCTCAACACACCCGTCAGAAGGTCAGTCATCCTTACAGGTCAGGTCAGGTCAGGTTAGATCACTGTAGGAGTTATTTTAGTACGTGTTAGGTTGGGAGGTCATTTAAATCCAGGTCAGGTCAGGTCACACTAGAAGAAATTTCAGGTTATGTCACTCTAGATATAATTTCAAGTCAGGTCAGGTCTCTCCCAGCTGGTTGGTGAAGTGGACAAGTTCCTTTAAGGTGCCTGAAATATAGAGGACCGAACCTGGTATAATACACGTTGGTCAGGTCAACTCTATGTGTCTGTGTCAAGGTAAGATACCAGGGAAATTAATAAACTAAAAGTAAGTTCTAGCCTCATAAGGGGAGAAATAGAGAAAGTATAAGAGTAAAAGTTTGAGTGAAAATTTCGTAGGCGTAGTGAAGATATTTGGAAAGCACGTCTAAACTTCCACTGATGTGGGCGTATGTGGGAAGCCGGCGATCCTTTGGTGAAGATGGTCGTAGCTTCGTGAGAGAGAGAGAGAGAGAGAGAGAGAGAGAGAGAGAGAGTCTTCATTCTTGCTATTGGTTTTGTTGTTGTTGTTTTTTCTGAGAGAAAGAGCAGATATCCACCCTACACACACACCCTCCTTCCTCCCACACCCTCCTTCCCTCCCCACACACCCTCCTTCCCTCCCCACACACCCCCCTCCCCACACACCCCCCTCCTCCCCACACACCCTCCCTCCCCCCCACACCCCCTCCCTCCCACACACACCCTCCTTCCCTCCCCACACACCCCCCCCCCTCCCCACACCCCCTCCCTTCCTCCCACACACCCCCCTCCCTCCTTCCCACACACCCTCCCAACCTAACCTAACCTCTCATAATCTGTTCACTTTATTTACTCTTTACTAAACTGCCTACAGGTATAATGTAGTGTTAATTAGTACAGAGCCTCAGGTGTTGGTCTAGGATCAAAACATGTATGTATGTAAGGTATGTTTGTTTGTATATATGTATGTATGTATGTATGTATGTAAGGTATGTATGTATGTATGTATGTAAGGTATGTATGTATGTATGTATGTATGTATGTGTATGTATGTATGTATGTAAGGTATGTTTGTATGTATGTATGTATGTATGTAAGGTATGTATGTGTGTATGTATGTAAGGTATGTTTGTATGCATGTATGTGTGTACGTATGTATGTGTGTGTGTATGTATGTAAGGTATGTTTGTATGTATGTATGGCCGATTTTTCTATCTAAGGACCTCCGTCAATTGAGTTGACCGATTTTGGCCGATTTGTCCCCTTGTGTGTAGTATGACTTGAAAGCCGGCCAAATCGGGTTAAGAATGATTTTTTGCCGGATTAATGTAAGCCGATTACGGTATGGAGGAGGCATTCCGATTTATGGGTATATTTATAGCTGGGTGGGAGATAGATAGATAGACAGACCGATAGATAGATAGATGAATGGATGGATAAATAAATATATAGACAAATCGATACATAATTGGACATTCTCTCATTAGGACATTCCAATTGGACATCTAACTAACCCCATTTCCTGCCGTGTCCTCAGATCCAACTGGACATCCCTTCAGAGGACATCCACGACACCATAGTTGACGAGGACGGGCGTAGGACACTTCTTCATGGTGATCAGAAGGTAAGGACATTGGACACCTGTACTTACCTGTATTTTGGAGGAGAACGAGGGCCAGGGGTGTCCTTATTTACAGTAGAATGTCCGTATTTTGGGGAGTGTGGGGAGGGATATCCTTATTTACGGTAGGATGTCCATATTTTGGAGAGAGAGAGAGAGAGAGAGGTGATAATCTCTACCTACACGGGTATTATTTATTTACGAGGGGGGAGGGGTAGGAGAAGGGGAAGAGGAGAAGGGGAAGAGGAGAAGAGGGGGAAGGAGGGAGAGAGGAGGAGAGGAGAATAGGGGGTTAGTACTATCCGATGGGGGGAGCTGGGGGGAAGATGGAGGAGGGGGAGGGGTCACAGATCAATAGAGTCGGCCTTCGTCCCCCTTCCTCCTCCTCTTCCTCCCCTCCTCCTCTTCCTTCTTCTCGTCTCAAGATGCTTTGAATGATAGAAACTTGCTCTCAGAACCAGGCATAGAGAGCACGCACGCACGCACGCACGCACGCACACACACGAACTCTCACTTACATACACACACATGGATGCACATTCATTCATATATACAAACACACACACTAAGGCACACAAACCTCCCATGTACACACACACACGGGCTGATAAACACACACACGCAGACATGCTTCCTGTTTATAGGTCACAGACAGACATAAACAGATGGATTAGGCAGGTTTCTCTCTCTCCTTGTTATATATATATCAGAAGGAGTAAAGCCATTGTTCACAGACGTATATTTATAGCTCCAGGGACGAATTTTATACCTCACAATATTCTCTCGATATTTTCGTGTTGTGGTCTTAGCGGGTGACGGCAGATGTTGTTGTTGTTTACGATGCTTTCACGCCAAAATAGTCACGGTGACAGGTTCTTATTTACCAGTTTATTTATCCTTGTTAGACAAGACTTTTTTATGCTGAATTGGTACTTATTTTCCAGTCTTTTTTTCACTCGTGGGTTGCTATTAGGTAAATAAAGTCAATTTTCCCAGTCACAATTTGATACAAACATTACCAACTGACTTTACCGTCAACTGTCATCCATACGACCTGTGTTTACATACTGGAACGGGATCAGGCTTACGACACACGATGGTAAGTCCCCTCAAGGCGTGACAACCTTTCAAAATACAGGTTGGTCATCCCCCAAAGCCACTCGGATTGACTGCCTGAGTAAATTGCTAATCCAGAGTGAATAGATATTTTGAAAGCTTCGAACTAGAGAGGTTAATTGGAGGGAAATTTGCAATGTAGATGGATTTGAGGAGGAGAAGGAAGCGGGAAGAGGAGGTAGAGGAAGGAGGAGGAAGGGTGAAGGAAAAGGAGGTAGAGGAAGGAAGAGGAAGGGTGAAGGAAAAGGAGGAAGGAGACGGAAGAGGTGGGAGGAAGGACGAAGATGGAGAAGAAATGAGAAGGAAGGAGAGGAAAAGGCGAAGGAAGTAGTAGGAGGAGGCAGAGGAAGGAGGGAGAAGTGGGAGGGAAAGAGGAAGAGTGGAAGTGGAGAAGGAAGGAGAACGAGGAGAAAGAAGGACGCGGAGAAGAAAGAGAAAGAGCAGAAGGAAGGAGGAGGAGGAATACATAAACTACAGTATGGGGGTCGTTTTATCTCCAAATATTCCCCCTCAATACATAACATTTCACCGCTGTACAGACCTTTCAATATTACAGCGACTCATTATAGAAAACAATCACTGTATTTTTTTAGGTTACAGGCAGTCGAGCCTTTTATCGCCAGGGTTGGAATTGCTGAACGCTCGTTGCATATGTATGAACGCTTGGCGAACATCTCATATGAGAGGGGGGATGAGGGAAGGGGTGGTGGGGTTAGGGGAGGGGGGTGATGTTTGAATTGTATTGGTAATGAGGTAGTCTCTCTCTCTCTCTCTCTCTCTCTCTCATTGTTTATCCCCCGCACACCACATCATCTTGTATACAGATCAGGTCATCAAAGGTTTGTTTTCTGTCTCGAGACTTTGATATCCGTCGCTATGGTTACCGCAGGGAGTGGGGATGGGGGGGAGCCTGCTGCGGAGAAACCTTATTTATGGAGTTGGCTTTGCCATTCGCCAATCCATCCTACACATGCTAACTGAAATACCTATAGGGATCAACGAGCGCCTCACGACGCTCCGAGTCCCACTTAATAAATACCTCTAACACCAATGTACACCTCCTCTGTCACCCATGTACACTCAGTAACCCAAATGTACACCGTTTCAGGGTCCCCGTGTACGCTACACCCCCCTGGACCTTGCGGTGTATGTGTACAAGACTGGAGATGAAGAGGGAGTCACGCTTGCTATCCAGGAGCTGATTGCTGAAGGCTTGGTAAGTGTACTGAGAGAGTGAGAGAGAGCTTCAGTAACAATAAACACCATCAAAGATTCAAACATATGTATAAAATAAAAAGTAAACATTTTAAAGGCACACAGTCAGACAGGTTCATTATTATTACAATACAGGTAATGTTGAACCGCACACCTGTATAACTTATTTATTAACCGGAAGGGCATTAGCCACCATGTGTGTGTTGGGCTTGCAACATATGTGTAATACAGTATGCCTGTCCAACTATACACGTGCAGCACATTTGGAGCACAACACATAATATATAACAACACAGCTGGTAACCTTAACCCTATACAGGTATGACATCACGAATTTGGAACATGACGTCACACATGTTAAACTACCACCCTCCTCTCCGCTTTCCAGATGACGGCCGAGGAAGCGCTTAGTTACCTTCACGATATCCGTAACCATCTGCGGTATCTGAACCAACAAGATGACGAGGATGAGAAGGTGAGTGTGTAAGGGATTTGGCTAGGGATTTGGAGTCAGATGGGAAAGGGATTGGGAGGAGAAAGTGGTAAATAAGATGGTTCGGGATTATGGAGGCGATTTTCCGGGGATTTCTTTTCTTTCTCTCTTTATCTACAGTATCTATATATCCATTCATCTATCTTTATCTATTTCAGGTATCACAAAACGACTTCAAGTCAATGATTAAGAAGAACTCTCTACGTAAGTAATGGTATTTTATCATATTTTTACTATTTTATTACTTTTTATTGAATGATGTCATTATTTTACTATTCAAAGTTTTAATATTTTATTTTGGACCATCTCTCAGTTGGGTCGACTTAGGGGCCATTATTTGCTTGTTTTTGATATATTGTTTAGATGGAATGTCATTGGTTGAGATACGTGGGTCCCTCTGGTCTGTGTTGTATGAGGCTGGTGTGATTGGCTATGACAAGCAAGAAATGTCGCAGTTTATTGGTCAAGACAGTGAGTGAAACAACACTATTGGCTGTGAAATACGAGGGATCTGGACTAATAACAGAACAGGTACATTGGCCTCTCACTGACAGGATATCCAGGGTAGTGTAAGAGATGTCACACTATTGGTTGAGACGGGCGAGTGAATGAGACATGTCACACTATTGGCTGAGAAGGACAAGAGAATGATAAAATTGAATTGAATGTCACACTATTGGCTGAAACAGAGCAGTGAATGAGAGATGTCACACTATTGGCTGAGACAGAGCAGTGAATGAGAGACGTCACACTATTCGCCGAGACAGAAAAGTGAATGAGAGGCGGCACACTATTGGCTGAGACACTCTGGATTAGTTTTTGACGGCCTTAATTGCTGTCAGACACCACTAACCATTTTCTCCTAGGCCTTAACCTAACACTAACATACCACTAACCTAAATTAACCTAACCACACTCTCCAACAGCCCTGCCACTCACGGAGATGAACGTGGGAGGTGACCCTGAAGGCATGATGACCCCTGACCTGGACTACGAGAACTTGTTAGAGAAGCTACGAGGTCAAGACTATGCCTACACCGAGTATTCTCTGGAGGAGGTCATATATCAGCTAGCCAAGATCCTGTTCAAGCAGGCTATGCACCGAGGTAACCTGACCTGCCCTGACCTGACCAAACCTGCCCTGATCTGAGCTGACTTAACCTGCCCTGGAGTCTATTTTCTAAGAGTCAACTTCCTAATCTGGAGTAAACTTTTAAAACTAGTTAACTTTCTAAAATGGTCTACTTTCTAAAATAATGTAGTGTACTTTCTAAAATTAGGTAAACTTTCTAAAGTAGTCTACTTTCTAAGATAGTGTAAACTTTCTAAAATTATATAAACTTTCTAAAATAGCATAAACTTTCTAAAATAGTTTACTTTCTAAAATATTGTAAACTTTCTAAAATGCTGTAGTCTACTTTCTAAAATAGTGTAAACTTTCTAAAAAGAGGTAAACTTTGTAAAATAGTTTATTTTCTAAAATAGTGTAAACTTTCTAAAATAGTTTACTTTCTAAAATAGTGTAAACTGTGTAAAGTACTGTAGCCTACTTTCTAAAACAGGATGACCAACTTTCTCTGACTGTATGTAACTTGCAGAAGGCGACATTGGCTCTGAGAAAACGATGCAGGAGGTGGCCGCCCTACTGGAGAAGGAAGCAGCCAGGGGTGTTATCACGCCAGAGGTGGAGAAGAAGGTGTTGGGTAAGTGAGAGAGACTTAACATAATGACACCTTAACTGGTCCTTATGAGTCCCAATCTTAAAATAGTCCCCATATAAAACACAAACAAACAAACACACACACATACCAAGATTCAACCACAAACAAACACAACCAGAAACACAAACTAACCAATCAAATTTAACCTTTCAGACGTCATGGTGAATTCATTGGTCGACAGCATCAGCGAGAACGAATTCCAAGTGGCTCCTGGCCCTATGATTGGTGGATCCAACTTCAAGGTAGCCAATGAGAGCCCCTTTCCCCTGGGGAACTCGCCTATGATTGGTGGATCCAACTTCAAGGTATCCAATGAGAGCCCCTTTTCCCTTGGGAGCTCATCTCTGATTGGTGGATCAGACTTCAAACCCACCAATGAACTGTTTCAGCTCTCAAAGGCAACAGCGAAGAGAGAAGTGACGGAGGATGATAAAGAAGAGAAGAAGAAGGTAGAAGACAAGAAAGATTAAGGAAGAGAGGAAGAAGGAGGAGGAGGAGGCAGGAGAGGAAAAGATGATTGAAGAAAAGAGAAGAAAAGGGAGGGGAGAAAAGAGGATGGTAGATGGAGAGATGGCATAAAGAAGAGAGGAAGAAGGAGGAAGAGGAGAGGAGAATAAGGAGGAGGAGGTAAGGAAAAGGAGAGGAACGGGAGAGCAGAAAGAGGAGGAGGAAAGGTAAAAACAGATAGAACGAAAGAGTAAATAGCAGAGGGATAAAGAATAAAGAGGAAGTTGATGAAGAAGAAATAGAAATAATGATTGGTTAACTTTTAAGGGATTAGTTAATTTCTTTCATTCCTAAAATACTTAAAATTATATACCTTAAATTATACTTTTCTTTACTTTTTTTGACATAACACCCCCAAAAAATTACTATCAACCTTTTACAGTAATTAGGTCAAACTTTTAATACTTTAGGGATGGTCGTAATTATGTTTTTCACCTTAAATACTTAGAAAGATAATATAAAACATAATATATTTAATTAATTAATTTTGGGGTTATATGCCGTACCTAGATTTCCTTTTTAGGTTAATTTATGAAAGGATTATTTCCAATTACTATACTGTATTAATTCTTAAGGTAACGTACGTGATTGGATAATTCACCGATTGTTTTTAAAGTAATTTGTTTCCTTGTCTCTGATTGGCTGATCTTAGGCATGGAAGCTGTTTTGAATCATAGTTGATTTCAGCCAATCAGAAAGCCCCTAAGCACGTCCTCACACTGGAGGGAGGACTTCTCATTGGCTGGTGCATAAGAGAGCTAATCTAATTGGCTGACGAGTTAAGATATGTAAAAAAGAATATATTCATTAGATATGTATACAGTATTGTAATTTGACTATTTTATTTGGGTACTTTAGTATAACACAGTGTATACCAATTTGTATATACCTTAATTACTCAACCAGGTGATTAAAGTTTATACCAAGGCCTAGATATCTATAAAAGCAATTAGACACTTTTTTTAATTAACGAAGAAGTATATTTGCGAAAGTAAGAGAGATATCCAAGTATATTTCCCATTGTATAAGGCATAATAGATTAGACAGGTGAATGAAAGGGTGACAGAAGCGTGGGAGTGATAGACAGGTAAGCCAATTAACACCTTTACCTATAACCATTGAACTCATTAGCATAATCAAGGTATATTTAGATAATACGCATTAACACCAGTATCTCCTCTTACTTTTGGTTGTTATATGCAAGAAGGAATTAAGTCTATATATATATATATACACATATCTACACAAGGTTGGTATATCTCAAAATAACATATATACTTCACATATACATTTTATAAACTTTAATACAAAGAGTAACTATCACATTTACTGTGCAATTCATATTTAAGATTTATTATTCAATATATTCATGTTATATATTATCTCCCGATGTGTCTAGGAGAGATATACGTCATCATTATCTCTCCGTCTCTTGTCTCTCGTTTATAAAGAGAATGAGGAGGTTATCTAGTCAAGTCTCTCATTGTATTATCTCTTAAAGGTGTTTCCTGGGTGACCTCGTTGACCCCAGACCTCTATTTTCTCATAATAAATAATTGACAATTTATGTAGTTTCTATAACCTTGAAATATACAGTAATTTTTTTTTATGTAACCTGGAAATATTTGATTAAATTTTTTTTACACAAACTGGAAACATAATAGTAAACAAACACATGGATGTACACACACACTACTACTACTACTACTACTACATGTACTCTGTACTACTACTTTGCTGTCACTCGGAATCGAGTATGACGATCATCCAGCTATGATACAATGATATGGGTTATTAGGGATGTCACCTACCTGTAGGTTGGTGAGTTTTGAGGTGACTAAAGAGGCCGATATAGGACCGGCAGGGTCGTTCACATTCGTTGCACATGTGGGAGGCTGCATCTAGTGTGGGAGTGGCGGTGGCAGCGTCTTTCCAGCATTGGCGCTTTTCTGCCTTGGTTTGCTTCAGGCGAACTAAAAAATATTGACACCTTCTCGTGTGGTGATCCTCCAAGAGTTACGGTGTGGAGTAATCGACTTTCAGATGAGGGGGTCAATTTGGCACTTTTTCAGGTTTGTCTTAAGACTATCCTAATACCTTTTCAATTGCCCACCGGCGTTACGTTTACTATTCGTTAGGTAGCAGTAAAGTAGCTGCTTTGGCAGTCTACTGTCGTCAATGCGGGTAACATGGCCAGTCCAGCGTAGCTGTTCATGGATAATGGTAGCCTCAATGCTCCTACAGTTGGTGTCAGCAAGAATACTGGCATTTGTTCTCTTGTCTTCCCAGCACGCAGAGGATGGAATGTAGACTATGTTGGTAAAGTTTCAAGTGCCTTGAGGTGCCTCCTGTATATGACCCATGTCTCTATGCCATATAGCAGGGTGGGGAGGACCACTGCTCGATATACGTGCAACTTTGTAGATAATTTCAGCTCGCTACAGCTGAAGACACGATTTCGGAGTCTGCCAAAGGCTTGAGATTCTCGTCTGATCTGATGCTGAATCTCTTCATCGATGTCTGTGGTGGTGGATAGGTGGGAGCCGAGACACTGAAAGAGGGTAACATTAGAGAGGGTAGTACTGTTAAGCTGGATGGATAGTGGAGGTGTGTGAACCAGGGGCAAGCTGAAAGAGAATCTGAGTCTTACATAGATTCCCCTCAAGGCCGAAGGTTGCATACGCATCTGTGTAGGTGTTCAGGATCTCCTGTAGGTCGTGTTCAGTGTGAGCAACAAGGGTGAGGTCGTCTGCATACTGAAGTTCAGTGATTGAAGCTGGATGTTCACCCCACTGGCTAAATTGACACTGGCACGAGTAAGGAAGGCAGCCAAGAAAATGGAAAAGAGAGTTGGTGTCAACATACACCCTTGTTTAACCTGTTTGGATGGGGAAGAACTCAGACTGGGTGCTGTTGTGCAGGACACTGCCGTTCATACCATCATGGGGTTGCCTCACAATGGCGATGAATTTTGGTGGGCAGCCAAAACGGCTGAGGGTCCACCAGAGGGCTTCCCTGTTGATCGAGTCGAAGGCCTTGGTTAGGTTTGATGAAAGCCATGTACAGGTCACGACTTTGTTCTCAGCACTTTTCCTGTATCTGACGGGCAGCCTCAGGAAGAAGACTGTTTAGGAGAACTCGGGCGATAATCTTGCCAACTATGGTAGTTGCCACAGTCTGACCGATCTCCCTTATTCTTATAAATATTGATGATGCAGGTGCGCGCGCACACACACACACACACACACACAAACTGGGATACAAACCTTGAACTCTTTCACTGTACAGTACGTATTACATACACACACATCATACAATACAATAATAAGGATTAAAATACATCAGATAATAACGGCATAATGTATTGATGACTTAGAAAATGTGCTCCATATTGTATTACCATGGTATTACAGCAATGATAGTACAGTACTGTATTATATCACAATAACATATAAAAATCATGAATAAAAGCTTATTTTATATATATATATATATATATATATATATATATATATATATATATATATATATATATATATATATATATATATATATATATATATATATATATATATATATATATATATATATATATATATGATACAGTCTTATGTAAAACTATGTCAAGTGTCTAATTTTACATAATTAAAAATACAGAGAACCCTCAATTTACACGGTTAATTCAACCCACGGCGGCCCGCGTAAAGTGAGAAACGCGTAAAGTGAGAAACGCGTAAAGTGAACAACATAACATATGGGATTAATTGAAATAGAGACCGGGCCGACCCCCAAACTCCACTTTTTCAGACACAATACCTACGTTGAAGTAAAAATAACTTCTTAATTTTATGATGGTATGCACACACAATTAATAATTAAGAGAAATATCAATAATATTAGGTTTTTTAACACTTACATTAGTAGAAAAGATGGCTGGGCACACGGGGATGGGGGTTGGTTCCGAGGCAGAGAGCAGATTATTGGCCCTCACCTGTATCAATTGTATCACTATCCACCACAGAGGCTTGCAGGGCCTCTTTGTCAAACCCCTCAAAGTCCATATAAGTCCATATCCTCACTATAATTATCACTATCACTGACTTGGGCCGCCTGTGGTGGGTGGCAGGTGAAGAACTCAGTAATGTTTTGATGGCTGGGCGACCTTGTGCGCACCCTGCTCGCGCCGCTCTCTGCGTAAAGGGGTACACGCACCGCGGAATGTGAGCATTCCGGTTTCGGCAGGGTACCGCGTAAACGTGGAAACGCGGAATGTGGGACCGCGTAAAGCGAGGGTTGACTGTATACATAATAGCCAATTTATATAGTGTATAAACCTGAATATATTATTACATAAATTGTGGAATGCATATATAAAATTTTGTCATAGCAACTTAATGAAACATGGTATAATGTCTCTAACAGGCCCCTTGTCCTAATGCTGTAGTTACAATGGGACCTATTAGGACTGAGGCTGTATGACCTCCAACCAATGACCTAACACTTCCTATTTCAATTCAGTACTCCCGATGTAAACAATAATCCCAAACAAAACATTAATCTCCACCTTAATTGACCATTTTGTACAAGAAACATTCCACCATTTCCTATTTTTGTCAAATATAACCATAATTAATGAATCTATTTAGACAGACTAAAACAGCATTAGTATTATATCATGCACCTCTAGACCATCATAAATATTATCCATAACATGATATCCAGGTTAATAAGAATCATATACCTGTTCTTCTACCCCTTGCATCGGAACCAAACACCACCAATTGCTTGACATTGATGTAAATTCTGTATTTCTGGTTAATACTGTAGGCAAACTCATCTTAAAAACTAATAACAATACAACAAATAATACAGTTACTATATACAGATACAGCATTAAAAATGATAAAGGTTCTAGCAACAAGAATTTTCAAGACTTAACACTTTCGACACATCCTTAAGTCCCTGTCATCTGGCCGTCACATGGGGCTGCCCTCAGATGGTCGACTAGGGGCAACCACTCACACTTAAATGAGTCGTGTCTGTCCTCAATGTGATATTTATTTGTTTATATTGTTTCTATGGCAACCAGTGCACTGTTTGTTTACCTCGAACTTACAGTACCTCCCCACCCTTACCAGTCACTCCTACTCAGCTAACCCACCAGTCACTCCCTCTCACCCCTATACCAGTCAATCCCTCTCACCCCTATACCAGTCACTCCCTCACCCCTACATCAGTCACTCCTACTTACCTCCCCACCCCTCACCAGTCATTCCCTACAACTCCCTCACAACAACAAGCTTACATATCGAAATTTAATAACTTTTCCCAGACTGCTAACCTAGGAAGAACAGAACAGCCCAAGTTTTACACCAGAATCAAAACTCTTGTCACTTCTGTACCTCAATATTGTACTGTGCCTGGTGTGTGAAATCTTCATCCCAATGAATAAAGTACAAGGCTGGAGGTTTTATTATAGTAAAATGTTTTTATTGAATGATATAATTAGCCCCTTGTGTACCCACTGTCGTTAGTCAAATAAAATAATAAAAGTGGCGTCCCCATAGTGAAGGGGTTAGTGGAGATAGCCTACTAGCGCCTTGTGTATGGGGTCCCCTCTAAGGTGAATAAAATCGTCCGTCATTAACCAAATAAAATATTAAAAGTGGCATCCTCATAGTGAAAGTGTTCCTCAACTTTCAGAGATATGAAGAAACCTGTCCTAACCATAAATCATATATACAACTGCCTACTATATTAATATAAGCTATTTATACATTAACAAGAGTGTTAAAGGGTGGTAAGATAGACTATCATGTGCTGTATTTATTAGGATATAGCTCAACGGAACATCCTGTATTTTATCATGATTTTACAACATGTTTGGTATCCAGGAGAGTAAATGGGCTCAAGAACAAGACTCTTCATAACTTGTCCATCAACAGAGGAACACCTATACTGTATTCATATCTCTTGATGTATGGTATAGTACAGTGTTGTTGTGGTCCTGAAAACCCTATAGTAAATTGAGTTATTTTAAATTGGGTTATCGTAAATTGGAATATCATATATCATATTATCGAGAGTCAAGTTATTGTAAATTAAGATATCATAAACTAAGAGACATCTAAAGTAAAGAAGATGAAGAAAACTTGTTAAATTTATCAGCACCAAATAATGTAACCTTAGGCACAGTGAACCTCCAAGCAAGACTGACTGTAAACGCTTCAAACATTTACATCACGAAGGCACGAACAACAGACACTAACACGAGACACGAACATTTCTTTATATTCTCATTAACTATTCCTCTATGTTTTCACTAACCTAACCCAACCTAATTTATGCTAACCTAACCCTACCTAACCTAACCTAATCCAACCTAACCTAATCCTACCTAACTTAATCCAACCTAACCTAACCCCCTCTAAAAACTTTATAGAATAGTCATTACCATTGTGTTATATGTATCAACCTAAGTGAGAAAATGAACCTGAGATGTGTCTGTCATTTGTTTATTATTTTCAAACTTGTATCGAAACTTTCTGGCATTTATTTATTGCTGGTCTGTACCTTGCCAGGACTGTCTCGTATACTTAACAGAAACAATAAGCGGAACAATGTGATGCTTCATTTAACCCCTTATGTACCGTGAATTAAGTCATGGTATACAAGGGGTTAGTATGATGCTTTGAGTTTCCCACAACAGCACCAAACACACAGGATTTTGTTGCCATTTTTATATAAGCTGTATCAGTGAGAGCTGGTTAAGAAGTGATCTCGGTCAGTCCATTGGTCAGTCAGTCAAATGGTCAGTCAATCAATCCAATGGTCAATTAATCAGTCCGTCCAATGGCGAGTTAATATGGTCAGTCAGGGAGTTAATGGGTACAGCACTGGTAGAGACAGGTACAAGGAACATTGTATGCTACAGCAGGTACAGTACAGTAGGCCAGAGAGATGTTCTTAAATCAACTTTAATTAAATAATTTCACCATTTATCAGTTTGTTAGTCATAAGAGCAGTTAGTCTGTTTTTTCTTAATTGTAAATGACTTTTATTATCCAATGTTAGTACTGTACAGTAGTTCACCAACCATGATGGCTTGAATGTTGGGCTCTATGGTTTCGTTGCTCCATTGTTTCCGATTTATAACCTTCTGAATGGCGTTGTACGTGGCCGTCTGCCCGCTGTATTGCTGCTTCATATAGCTAGTTAACTCGTCTACTGTTTCCAATCTCTGCGTGCATTGTATGCGCGATCTGCCGCAGGCCCCGCAAGATGCTTTATTGTGAATTGGATTCGACCGGCTTCATCTCCGTCTAGCAGCTTGAGGGTTCGGTCAACCTCTCTTAGCCACTTCCCTACCTGTACTCCTGGCCTACCGTCGAACTTAGACATGGTCAACCCGGCCCCAAAACTAATTCCCACTCTAGTTTTGTGCCTCCTAGTCTCACACATTGTCTCATCATACTGTATTTGATACCGTGCCTCTACCCTATCTAGTGCATCCCCCAAGGTGTTGTTGATGTTCCTCCCTTGACTTTTGCATTTGGGTCTGATACTCCCCCCCCATAACTGGTGCAGTTGTGTATGATGCTCTTCCCTTAACTGTTGTGTATATACTTCATACTCCCCCTTGATTTGGTTCGCCCATGCCTGACATTCCCCATCGATCTTCCCCTCTAACTGTTCTATACGTTCCTGATATTCTTCCTCTAACTGTTCAATACGTTCCTGATATTCTCCCTGGACCTTCCCCTCTAGCTTTTCAATACGTTCCACAAACTCTTCCCTCAACTGTACCAAACCCCGGCCGTCTCTCCCTTTCTCCAAGTACCTCCGCACCGTCAACAGCAACAAGCCCATTCCCACGGCGAACATGAGTAGAACTGAGATCACACACTCTACCGTTTCCATCCAATCCATGATTACGTCCATTATCCCAACCACAGAACTATCAGTCACGAAATAAAAAAACTACGCTCTGCTACCAAGATTGTAACCGGTCGGAAATTCTCTCACTTGACTTTTCCACTTGCACAGAGCCCGGGAGCTTCTCTTTGCCGAGTTCGTTTATAAATGTGTGCAATAAAATATCCTTTCTTGGGGCGCCGGGGTGTAGACACGTGGGATCCACCACGCCAAATGTTGTATGATATGTGCGCCTGTGCGGATTGCAGTGATTTTGGGGTGTTTAATCACCTCTGTAATGACACCAAAAAGGCATTTTTTGTTTATCTCATAGTTACACTGCAAAATAGTAATTATATTTCTTAATGGCAGTCTACTGATGGGGGAGGGAACATAAAAGATCATCACTTTGCTCGCAATCCCCATGTGTAAGGAGTGAGAAATATCCAAATCCCAGCCTTGATAATCTCTTTCTTTAACGTGCCAGACCATGATCCATCTGTCTCCTTCAATCTTCTTCAGATGTTTCTCAACACCAATTGCTGTGTCATCGTAACACATGACATTCACATCATTGCCCATAATAATGGCTCCTAAAGTAGATAAACTTCGTTGTGTGAAGAGAAAGAAGAACACGTTGAAATTGAGTGACAAACTTGAAATAATTAAGAAACTAGAACGTGGTGTGAGCAATACTGTTCTAATGGAAACATACGACATTGGAAAGTCTACAATTTATGATATAAAAAAGGCAAAGAATAAAATTCTAAAATTCACAGCTTTTTCTTTAAAACTGCTCGTTTTGATAAATGAAGCATGCTATATTTGCTAATGAATAAACTATCAAAATGTACCTGTTCATCTCTTCTTTATTCCTCCTTAAATTTGAATTTTAAAAGTACTGCCTGAGAATCCAGAAAATCAGAAAATCCAGACCGACCCAATCCCCAGGCAGTCCGGATTTTTGGACTTGTACTGTACAGTAGAGGAAGAAACCAGCTCAGGACTCAAACCCAGGACAAACCTAGAGCCTCCTGTGCCATCTTGTAAAACCTCATCGATTTTGATTCAATTTACCCGTTTGTGTTTTTTGAGTGATGATAAATTATAATTAACCAAATAATTAAAGTTTTTCTTATTCCAATACACTTCATATATGAATGACCTAATGTGACCTGATCTAAAAAAATGGGACATAGTGTTGGGATTGAGTTAGGAACATAACAGTGGCTTTAAAAGATCAACACACGTACAGTACAGTATGTTAATCTAACAAACTACAATTGAAAAAAAAAATAAATAAATAAAATACAGAGAGATCCTGTTACCAAAATGACAAATTTCCGCTTTTGACGTATTGAAGGGTGATGGGTAATTGTTAATGGATAATTTAAGAGGCCGTGAGTATATATGAAGCCTTTCGGGGGTAGTAAACCCATTAGTGACTTATTAACCCATTCTATGACCATACTAATAATTAAGAGTATTTTGGGCAGTAATTAAGCTGTGATGTAGCCATGTGTGTGAACCTTACTTGAGATCAGGTCACTTAAGCAATTTTTTTTCATTTTAAGTGATGTAAATATTTGTCTTTGCGTTGTTCGAATAATGATGAGCACAGAGGAGGAGAGTGCAAGGTTTGAGTCAATACTAGAAAGTGTAAAGTGATTGGGAAAACTTTTATCTGACTCACTCTGTTATCATCATATTAACCACAAAATAGTTAAAACTTTACAAACCTTTTTATAGAACTATTATTATTAAGCATTTCTGAAAATTATGACTTTTTGAAATAAAATTATAAATAAAATCCTTCCCAAACATGGCATAACACCTGTGCAAAAGGCTTATGAAAATGATTACAATGTAGGTGAAGACGACTCACTGAAGTAGCACAGTAATATACCAGTCTGAGTATCACTAGTGGCTACAGTATTGTACTCAGGTATGGGACTCCAGCACCAGCAGTTATATATGTCACTAATACATATCTTGGCTGCATTTTTAACTCTGTCTTGAGCTTCTTCGACTGCAGTGATGTGCTCTTTAAGCTAAATGTAAGAGGTTTAATTTCCCACTATGAAGTTTGTCCCTTTGAGAGACTTTCCAGGGTCCCATATTTCACATCAACTGTCTCTTTGCATGCTTGTTACACCTCTTACTTGTCGGTGACACAGCAGGGAGTTCCGAGCCTCTTGCTTACTGGTGACACAAGTGGGTGTAGAGTAGCTCCGAACCTCTTGCATTCTGGTGTCACAGCAGGAGTGTAGAGGAGGTCACAGCCTCTCCACCTCTCAGACTGTGGTGTTGCTCCACTTCATAACACAAGTACAGGTATAAGAGCCATCAAGCTGTGGTCCCTGGAGGAGTTCTGCAGTCACATAGCCTCTCCATCCTCCTGTCCACATATGTAAACACACAACATTACACACTCCTCCATTATAAACCGTAATAACGGCTTATACTGTACGGTGGTCAGAAGCGAGATGTAAGCTATGGAGAGGATGTGTGGGAGCTTTGAGTGGAATGATGAGGACACATGTACATGAAACAAAACCTGCAACACAGGTCTGGTAGTAGGCAGCTATTAAACAGGGAGGTACTACTGCCTGGGAAGATATTGGAAGCATAATGTGTTGTCTAATGATAGACTCTGCTGCTATATGTGACCAAGTCCCAGGTTGCTGATCTGACTTCTGCCTCCTTTCCACACAATTGCAGGGCCTCAATTGTTTCTCTTACTTTGACAACACAACATACAATCTGTATATCGTTTCTCACTCTTGATTCTTTTTTGCTTATTTGTGATTCTTTATTGTTATTGTTATTATAATATACCTTCACCCTCCAGGCCCTGATGTAGGTCAATGACCTATGCCCAGGTGGGCTAATCCTTGTATAAAAAATACTGCTGCAATGGCCAATGAAAAATCAGTAAAAGGAGTTTGTTTCTGGAGTGAACATTAGTGGAGAGAGAGAGACTTAGGGAGAGTGGGCAGTAGGGGAGAGACAGAGAGAGACTGGCTTAGGGAGACAGTGGACAGCAGGGGCAAAGGTGTTGTTGGTGGAGAGAAGCAGCAGAATGAATGTAAACTTGTATGAAAACTCTACTGAATCAAACTGACTTAAACTAAAATCTTTGACTTACAATTTAACTTTTCTGAAATACAAAACCTCTTGTTGCATAATTCTTACCTGTTGATTCACTTCTTCCCTCTCTTGTTCTGAAAAGTAAAAAATAAAACATAAATACTGTACATAAAAGCCATCAGGTTTGGAATATATCACCTAGATTAACCCCTTGTGTATGGGGTCCCCTGACCTGAATAAAATCATCTGTCATTAGCCAAATATAAAAAATGGCGTCCCAGTAGTGAAGGGATCAAGCTAAAAACAGATCCACAACTGTAAAATTATAATATTTTGTCCCCCAAAAATAATATCCATAATATATTGATTGTCAACATTACATTCTGATAGGAAAAAAAAGAAAATGAAAATACAGTGATATCCCCGTTAGCCAAAACAATTGGTGCAGAGCACTTCCGGGAATGAGAGATTTCCCGGTAACGAGACGACTCTCTCTAACCCAGAAAAATATCCCTCATCCCCGGAATTCTCCGAAATTATTTTTCTCAAAATTTCCAGAAAATGCGCCTGATTTTCATCTCTCAAACCCGGAAAAAAAACTCCATCCCCAGAATTTTCCGGGTATCGGGAAAATTTTCTCGGAATTTTCCGAGAAAATTTCAATTCCGGCTAAAGGAGAGTTCTGGGTTCGAGGGATCCCGGCTAACATAGATATTACTAGATATCTTTTTCTGTCTATTGATATCTGTAGTAAAGTGTCACATCTCCCATACAGGGATATTTATGTACAACAGTGAGTTACTCGAAACAAAAGAATGCATATGGCAACAGGTATAATCAAGATCTACTTAAACACGACCCTTACAAGAGATCGTTCATCTTTTTAACGTTGGGTAAACTTGCCAGACAAATGACACGCGACTCTCTCACCTTCTCCCAGTGAAAATATTTCTTATGCTCCTCCTTGACTTTACCCAAATGAAAACTTGACAAATTATAGATATAAGAACATATCAGTATTATTAAGAAGCCAAAAATAAGAACAGTTTTGTTTTAATTGTGAAAAGTGGAAAAAATTTGAGCATATGAGACAGAAATACAGTCAGATGTGAGGGATAAAAGACGGTTACATTCAGATGTGTGGGAGAGGTGAGACAAATACAGTCAGATGTGTGAGAGGTGAGACAGAAATACAGTACAGTCAGACATGAGAGAGGTGAGATACAGTGGCTGTAATAAGGCCTCACCTTTGCTTCATATTTGAGGTGTTCAATCAGCTCGGTCTGCGCTGTTATTTTCTCATTAAGGTCGGCCAGGTGTTCTGACATGGTGGAGATCTGCTCTTCGTAATTTCTGAAGTGGACAATATGATATAACAAAAACAATAACACTAATTAACAATAACACTATGAATAACAATTACACTGGGACTAACAATAATTCTAATGACAATAACAAGTTTGCCGAAGAGTCAGTCTCAGATAGGTGCAAACTAAGAACCATTGGCTGTAAGATCAATCACTCCACCTCACCCTGGTAACTATGGTGGCCCACTCACTTGTAAACCTCCGTGTGTAGTGCAAGAGGTTGCGCGTCCCATCCGGGGTATATGTACATTTGTCGGTCTTTAGATCTAACCTAACCTAACCAAATTCACATACATAAAATCTTAGAAAACACGAATGACTCACCTGGAGGTCGTCTGTAGCGTCTCTTTTAGCTGGTTAACGATCTCTCTCTGCTTGTCGACTTCCTGGTCACAAGAGGCACGATTTTCCTCACTCACAACGAGCCGCCTCATCAGAGACTCACACTGTTAAAGGTCACAGAACATCTTAACTACAGTGTAATTCCTGATCACAACCAAATACTTCCTGATCACAATCAAGTACTTCCTGATCACAATCAAATACTTCCTGATCACAACCAAGTACTTCCTTATCACATATAAGTACTTCCTGATCACACACAAGTACTTTACCTCATTCTGATAGAGAGCAGCTTGACTCGTCGTAGAGGTAAGCTGCATGTACAGGTGTGAGCAACGGCTTGTGAAGTGGTTCCTGATGTCTTTCTCTCTCTCGTCTGAAGCGCCGTCCATTCCTTGCACCTCACCGATCTGGGGGGAGGGATGCATATAGGTGAGAACTAATTAGGGGGCAGATACAGGTGAGAACTAATTAGGGGACACACACAGGTGAGAACTAATTATTGTGAAGGGGAGTATATGTGGGTGTTTGTCTACACAAGATTAATGGAAATAACACCACCTCCTCTTCCATTCCACCCTCCCTGTTCCCCTCTCCTCCTTTTCCTCCCCCTCTCTTCCTCCTCCTCCTCGCCGTCATCACAGGACATAAAGATAACTCACTATCGACGCGGTGGAGGCGTTCGAGGCAGAATGGTCCTTGAAGTGTAGATGTTCGCTGTCCTCACTGTCCACTGTGTCTCCCTGCAGCTGAGTCTCCAGTTGGCGAACCCGCTAAGAGAGTAGAGAGATATTCTGTACAATATATATAAACAAATCCTGCCTAATGTGTGTGTTATATTCTCAGGCTTAATATATATCTTGAATAAAATATAGAGTGTCTCCTCCTCTTCCGTCATCCTCCTCATCTTCCTACCTACTCTTCCTCCTCATCTTCCTACCTACTCCTCCTCCTCATCTTCCTACCTACTCCTCCTCCTCATCTTCCTTCCTACTCTTCTCCCTCATCCTCCTCCTACCTATTCCTGACTAACACAACATATTCGTATGATTAAAATAACAACAAAAAACAATAATGAAACTCTACACAAAATGACAATAAAACACACAGACCCCAACCTTTGCCTCCTTCTGGTGTTTACATTGTAACAGTTGGTGCTCCAATCTCCAGTGTTCCCTCTCTGATTCCAGCTGGCTCAGTTTAGATGACGCAAGAGCCAGTTGTTTCGTGAGTGAGGCTTCGGTGTCCCCCACGTTCGAGGTATCTGAAGGGCTCGCTAATGTGCCGTCATATAGGGTTCTGTTACTCTCGTCCTGAGGTATAAGATAAAGAGGTGATATAGAGAAGATTTTGTCATTATCACTGTTATCATCATCATCACCATAATGTAAAATATATAAGTTTAACCATCAGTTTAGCAGGATTAGTGACCTGGGGTACATCAGTGAACCAGGAATAGTGACCTATTGTATGTTAGGTGCAGGTATTTTATCTCTACATTAAGCCACCAACTCTGTACTGTAGTCAGTCAGTGTCAAGTTGTCAACATTTCTAAGGAACTGGCAAGCTGAGAGGCTGTAGACATGAGGTGACAGCAGTTATGACTTTTTAAATATTCTACATATCTTTAATTATTTCAATCATCGTTAATTACACAGCAGTTCCCACTAGAGGGATTTTTATTTTTATTTTCCAATAAAAAAAAAGAGGCAGGGAAATTTCCACCCAAAATTTTTCAGGGCAGGTAAATTTCAAAAGTCACTTGCCCGGGATAAGTAAATGTTGCACATAATCTGTACAGTCTGGTATGAGTGTTATCTATAGACCAAAGACTGTAGTGATAAGTGTACCCTATGTCAGCCTCCCCCAGTGTTAAGATAATCATGGATCAGTGTTAAAAATTTTGGCTAAGTTACTCCAGTTTTTATCCATAACTATATAAAAAAGTAGGTGACCAAAATCCTTCAACTGATGACCAACAAACAGTAAGTGACTGAGAATACCACGACTCACATGAGCAATGGAGGCAGAGTTGCTCGTAGATTTGTTGAGACCGTAAGGCATGCTTGGGTACGGTGAGGAGGGGGTGCTGGGCGTCGATCCACCTCTGTTCCACGACGGTACGACTTGTTCCTTGAATAGCGTTGACATCTGCAAGAAGAAATACATTAATAGAATAAAAAAAACACACAATTTGTTTCTTGAATAGAGTTGACATCTGCCATATTCTCTCATTTCGAGGTAAAAACAAATGCCAACTTGAGGATTCAACACTGATGCACCAAACACCAACTTCCAGACTACTTATTTGTTTATATCTGAGCCAAATATTTATAGGAGTGAAGGGATTATGTTTGTCAGGTGTGAGTTGATGTTGGTGATGAACTGCTCGAGTCATAGTTTAGTGTGTGTGTGTGTGTGTATATACTAGCATCACAACTAGTAGGGATTCTAAATTCAATACTGTAATAGAAATCCACTTCAAAACAAAACAGCTGTGAGGAGAGAGGAAAGTTGACCTTGCTTGTGGTGACAGAGAGAGCAGTAAGGACGTTGACAATCTCCTCGTTGGCAGCCTTGGCCTCCCCTGATGTAGATGGCAGCACCTTCTCGCTCAAAGCTTTCTTTTGGTATATGTTGGAGGCCTCTAGAGTACAGGAAACATTACCAAGTGTTAAAATAATAATACAAGATTAAAATAATACAGAGACATTAACAACAGGCAAAGATCTGTTGTGACTGACAGGGGGGTGAAGGGGGAATGACTTAAGAACATAATCATAATAAATACATCTAAGCAATCATTAATCAACAAAACACGACTTACACTGACAAAACAATATAACTTGAATTTATTGGTACCGTATATAAAAATCACATCATATTAAATACCTTAAATAACATAAAGTAATGAGCCATGTTTGTTTGGCTCACACAGGATAACACCTTTCTCACATCTGACCCCGGGATTAGAGCCCCCATCCGCAGCGGTCAGAGGCAAACGAGTTACCGCTGTATCACCAACACTGACTATAACCCACACACCATATGCACCAACAAATTAACATTGACGACACACACACACAGTCTCAGCGTAACATACCTGTAAGGGCAGCATGGAGGTTGTCGAGGCGGTCGCTTAGCATGGATATGACGCGACCCTGAGCGCTTGGAGGCAGGTTGGAGTTGGGGGTACCTGGGGTGAGAGAGATAGTGAGTGAGAGAAAGAGAGAGAGACAGTACTGATGGATGATTAGGTGGTGTGGGAGAGTGGTTAGCAGGGGCTGAACAGTGATTAGGAGGGATTTGAAGTGATTAGGAAGGATTTAAGGTGATTAGGAGTGGTTTAAAATGATTAAGATGGGGAATTATCTATATGGAAGGCAGCCATCATCAGTAGGAATCAGCTGTGGGGACAATGGCCATCATCAGAGGAATTTCATATCCTTTGTGATCCATCTTTTGACCATGTGTGTGGAGGGGAGGGGGGGGAAAGGGAGGGGATGGGATGGGAGGGGGGGGAAAGGGAGGGGATGGGAGGGGAGGGGGTAGGGATTCCTTAGCCGCCGGAGTAGGGTTAAGGAGTGGAAGGTTCTGACGTGGACTTACTCTGACTAGCAAGAGTGGCAACATATGGGGCCAGTGAGCCCCAGGAGGACACCAGCCTGCTGAACGCTGCGCTCCACGCCGCACCAGCACGATCTCCGTCAACTTGTCCCCTACTGCCCTCCGACACCCTACAACAGAGGTAAGGATGTTAGCTATGTATCAGAGGATGAGTCTACAAGAAGAGGTTATGTACTACAGGGTGTCTCAGCAAGAAGAGGTTAGTTAGGTACTACAGGGTGTGTTAATATAAAAAGGGATTGTATAGAAGGTGATTCATCTCAGATCAAAGGATACAAATATTCAACCTACATGACATAACAGTTGTTTACATTATCACTAACGTCAACACGCACACATTACACTAGAGGTCCCATATATTTATCTCAGGTTCTCATTATGTCAAACACTGTAGAGAAAATAGCAATTCAAATTATATTTGTTGAGGCAAAAAACAACTGGAATATCTGAAGACTAAATCCCAAGTTTATTTGACCTTCCTAATGCTAACCTAACCAAACCTAACTTAATCTAAGCAAATGTAACCTACGCAAATTCAACCTACCAGTAACCTTATCTAATCCAAGGTGACACCAATCAACAAAACATCTCCTTTGTCTGACTCACCAAAGAACCACCAGGGGCAGCACCTTCCGCAGGCTGGCTCCACATGCCGTGACGTGGCGACTCACTTGGGAGAGTCCGCTCAGGGTCTCCAGGGCCACAAAACCTTCCCCCGAGGCACTGTCCGCAAGATGGTGATAGGACGATGCCAAGGGATGCCAGGGTAAGGCGGCTGATCTTAAGTGTTGTATCAGCTGGAAATATAATTACTTTAGTGTTGGTTTATAAGTGTCCCATTAGCTGAAAATATTAAGTATTTTAAGTGTCCCACCAAATTGAAAAATATGTAGTCTGTTGATTTTAAGTATTTTAAGTGTCCCATCAACTGGAAATATTTTTTACTTAGTTCCACAGAATGAAGAAGTACTACTCTCAGTCTTTTCAATCACCCTGTATCACCAAACACTTCTTTTTCAACCACCCTGTATATAGTAATTCAAGGTACAACACACTTACTTTTAACTGTATCTCTGAAGACTGATCGTACAGCTTGACTCGGGTGCTGTAACTGCAGAGGAATTTGGCAAAAGTATCGGATAAGACCTGTATGAGGTTATCAAAGGAGTCGACCAAACTTCTGGCTGTCACGCTGGGAGCTCTGTCTCGGCCGTTTTGTACCGGAATGTTGAGGCTCCTCGATACCACCTCTGTAAGACGTGTGGTGGTTATGTGATGGTGCTAACCTAACCTAACCTATTGCTAATTCTAATCTAACTTAATCTAATGTTAACTTGCCTAATGCTAATGCTTATCTAACCTAATGCTATCTTAATCTAGACAAATGAGGATGAGGATGATAATAATGATGATTGATAATAATAATGATGATGATAATTGATAATGGTGATGACAATAACTCTCTCACAAACACACATGTAACACGAACACATTTGGGGGGGTCATTCGAGAAACAACCCACGTACTTTTACCAAAAGCACGGTGAGGGTCGGACTTGTCACCCTGTTCTTGCGTCTGAGGCGGTTGGCAGTTGGTGACGGCGGCTTTGTTGAGGCTCTCGAGTCTGCTGACCTGTTCCTTCAACGCCCTCAGTTCTGCCTCTCGCTGCTGGGCCACCACCTCCTGCCTCACTCTCTCAGTCTCCAGCTGCTCTACCGCGCCCTGGTGGTGAGGTGATCGGATAGAATGATGATAAAAAAAAGTGATCAATACCCTACGAACATGATCATATAACATGTTTTTTCTCTCACAAACCCACAACCCAGACCACAACACTCACAACCCACACCACACCACACCACCCACAACCCACACCACACCACCCACACCACACCACCCACAACCCACACCACACCACCCACAACAACCACCAAAACTCACCTGGGCAGATTTCTCCCTCAGTTCAAACAGCTCCTTCTGTTTCTGTGTCTCTCTCTTGGCAGTGTCTAACTGAGTCTCCAGCTCTGAGTAACGTCTTCGGTACGTCGTCTCAATTTCCGAGAGTTCCGACTGTAATCTGGCATTTTCCTGAATCTTCAACTGAGAGTAAAGACAACAAATTAATAACACTGCTTCCACAAATAACCTAACCTAACCACACAAATATACCGTCACCACATGAGGAGAAAACTAACATAGACAAGGACCTACCTGAAGCTCCTCGGTAAACACTGTGTTGTCTACTGCCGCCCCATCTACAACACTTTCTCCCTTCCCTCGTCCTCTTTTGGATTTAGTCTGCAAATAAACCAGATGAAAAGGTATTAATAAAAAAACAAATAAAGATAAATAGTGTAATTCATTTTGTATACTGTGTGTGTAAGTTGAGGATATGAACAAAATGTGGATAATTCTACTTGTTGTCTTAGTATTTTATTGTCACTTTCTATACTCGTTTTGTATACCACTTTCCTAATACTTTTCATTCCTATTTTGTGATTAATTTTTTACCCAGTGATAAACCACACACACGAACACCACAACTCACCTGTATCTCATCAAGGTCTTCCTGTAGAAGGGTCAACCTCTTAGTCAACTGTTGGTTCCTGAAGCTGAGGGAATCATTCTCTTGGTCGGCCTTTCTCAGCAACTGGTCCCGAGACTTCACGAAATCCTGGTCAAGACGGAATTATTAATACCATAATGACGGTGTGGCCTAAATCAGTGGCTCAATAGTCCTACCTCTCATAATTTTTGGTTGGTTTTCTTTACGCTTAAAGACCTTAGTCACTGAAGCGCAGTAACGACAAACGACAAAATCAAAACAGAGCCGATGGTACACAACTGACTGGTGGTCCTCCATAGCCGTCCAGTGACTGTACTATGTGGGGTGAGTTATAAATGTTCTCCTATGTGATGCAACAAGGCTTCAGAGAGACAAGTCACTAGTATGGCTCTTGTAAATATTAGCGACCACTGATCAAAACCATTTAATATACTGTAATTCAGATTGTTGATATTATGAGAAAAACCTAACCTAACCACCTAGGTAGCTTTAGGGTGTTTAATTATCAGAGGAAATAAGCTAGGGTGTTTATTCTTCACGTGGTCCTGATAGAGTCTAGGATTATCTGAACAATGTCCCACAGAAGGACAAAGGGATACAGACTCAGATATATTTACAAACACACACACACACACACTCACATTTAACTGTGCTGTCTTCCCTTGTTCATCAACCACTGCTTTCTTCAACACTTGGTTTTGGGCTCGTAACTGTGGGAGATTAAAAACAAATGAATGTCATAAAATTTCTTCTGTGGACGGTGTGTTAAACCAGTGTAGGTTTTTGCATCACAAACATACCTGATAAATGTTTATATGAATTAAAGTGTCAGAATAAATAATACTAGCTTAACCTGTTCAGTGAAACCTCTATTTAACGGACCATAAAGGGAGGAAAGTCCATTATATCGAGGGTCCATTATATGGAAGTTTCACTGTATTTTACTATGAATCTGGAGGATATTTTAAGCTACACCCTCGTACTATGACCCACCATCACGCACACACACAACATTATGACTAATTACACACGGGATCGCCTCTCTGGTGAATAAAAATCATTCAGCGTTACCCAAATGAAATACTAAAAGTAGCGTCACTGTAGTGAAGAGATCAACCATTACTTAACAATTCTTGTATTAACTTTACTGTTATTAATTTTTCTTTATTACCAGAAAAAATAATCATAAAATAGTCATGTTAATATTTTGTAGATAAAACTGAAATGACACCAGTAATAACAGTGTTGGTGGACCAGTACAATAGAGGGATAGCAGTCTTGACTCTCTCTACTGCAGAGATGGGTTCAGTCCCGAGGCAGAGGTATGGGTTCAGTCCCGAGGCAGAGGTATGGGTTCGGTCCCGAGGCAGAGGTATAAGATGTGTGTTATGTTGTGTGACTCCTCTAAGGTTTTCTCTGTGTATTACAGTTTCCTCTTGTACCAACACTGGATAACATTAAAGTTCATAATATAATAACAAGGAGCAGACTAATTATACTTCAATGGTTAGTAATGTAACAACTGGTGAACTGATAAATTGAGGATCTGTTTTATGTAATTTGATATCTTTATAATTATATGACCAAATTACATCTCAAAAATCTTAATTATTTTTTTAATGCTAATTACTCGTCACCTATGTTTATTTCAATGAAAATTTTTTGTGTTTATGTGTTATTCTGGATGTGCTGTACATAATTATTTTAACACATTAAAGTTCAATTCTGAAAAAAAAAAAAATTGGCCTCAAATCCTACAGTACAGTAAACCCTCGTACTTCTGGACCTCTCAGATCCGGATTTTGGTTAGTCCGGAAGACGTCTGGATGTAGCAAATTCCTATCTAGTCTCTCTTTCAGTCTGAATGCCGTGTTTACTCCCCCACCGTTAAGATGGACCCAGTCCGCATCTCCCGCCACAAGTTACAGCGCTCATCCCTCCTCGGTCTCACTTGTAGTCTCGACTGTTTTTGTGCCCTATGACTGTTGTGTAGTGATGGAACCCGAAAGGAAGTTAACACAGTTTACTATAGCTCAGAAGCTGGAGTTGTTACAGAAGTTAGAGAGTGGTTGGTCTGTAGCGAGATGCTGTAGCATATATGGCGTCGCTAAATAGTCGGTGTCTGATATACAAGAGGCTAAGGTTCCCTGCAATGAAATAAACAGTACTGATTGTTTGACCTCTAAGATGACTGATGGAGATTGTCAGCTGTATTAAAACTAAAAGAAAGTAATTTAAAATAATACTGTATTGATATACAGTAATAACAGCAATAGAGTAATACAGTAGTGTATAATTATTGTTGTTTTTGTTATTACTGTATTATCATTACTGTATTATTATTTAATAGCATTTTACTATTATTATTAATACTGGACCATATTATTAATGTTATTACCCATGACAATAAAGTCTATGTACAATGAAAGATAAAAGACGTGTCGTGAAATTTGGCGAAAACATTTGCCGCAGGGCTAAACTTTTGGTGCGCTCTGCCTTGTGGTAGGGGGCTCTCATAATGTTTCACGAGTTATATTTAATCTTCGGACTAAACCGCGACACGACTTTTGTCTTGGAGTATTGTTAATGCGCCTTCATCCCCAGGTTCATCCGGACACCCTCTCCCCCCCTATTTGTCCAGAAGTGCGAGGGTTTACTGTACTTCCAGAATAACACAAAAACACCAAAATTGCACCTCGGAAACTTATATTTTTTAGTTTTTGTCCAAAAATAAATTTTATTATTATGGTGACGACTTCAACTAAATACCTTCATAATAATAATACTAAACCAATATAACTCAAAGTCCTTCACATAATATAACTCTTATCATCATCAACTCAATAAAAACACAACTTTAATCCTCCAAGATCACTTTAATATCCGGTAATCCTGGAGCAGATGATTAACACCACAACAAGTTGTTAGATTTTGTTCATTTTTTCACAGATGTTCTTTGGCTGATAGCAATAAATTATAAAAATGATACAACAATGCACAGAACCTAATAAAACCTGACCTAACCAACCAAAGAAACCTACCTAACCTTACCTAACTTCTTATCTAGAGGCAGAAACAATGCCACATTAAACAGAAAGAACTTATATTGATATCTGGTACCAGCGAAAGCAACTGTGTTGAAGCATCATGGTGTAATTTTACGTTTTTTGTAGATATAAGAGTACGCTCAGACCAAGCGGGTCGGTTGTACAGAAACAGGGCAGACAACAACGCACACTGACATAGCAGATGTTTCGGATGATTATTTACAGTAAATAATTAATTTCTACACACACACAAGGCACTTAGAGACATCATTTTAGTGTCATGTGATCAGTTTTCCACCATGTTTTACCCAGCAATTTCCCCCATCCTTCATGCCCTGCTCACTACAGATGATTGAAGACTGTAGATAAAAAAAAACAAGAAAAAAACTCAATTAAAACAAAATGTTGTCACCTCTTTTAAAATACTTAAATAATGCTAAAAAAAATGTGTGGAAAAGATGAGTGAAATAAAACAACTCCTTCTGGTGTTAGCCGTCTCCTCAGCGGTCCCACTAATTACCCAAATATAGCCGGAATGAAGTCAAATAATGGTCCTACATGAATAAATCGGACTGCCAATCACTTCTCAACTAGTATTTGGTGTCACAAAGTCACAAAAAATTGGAAAACTTACTTTAATCTGAGTTGTGTTGTTTTAGGTTAGGTTAGGTACATGCACTCGATCTATTAACTCAGATTAAATTAAGCTTACCAATTTTTTGTGACTTTCTGACACCAAATACTAGTCGAGAAGTGATTAGCAGTCCGATTTATTCATCTAGGACCATTATTTGACTTCATTCCAGCTACATTTGGCTACATTAGTCTGACCCGTCTCCTCAGTCCTGCCTAACATTTAAACACCATAACCTTTAAAAAAATCCCTCAAATTATCTGATCAAAATAAACAGTCAAGGGCAATTAAATTTCCCTTTAAATAATAATAACTAACCTTAGAGTATTCCGCCGCCAGTTTCTGATACTTGGCCTGTATGTCTGGCGACTCCATAATGGTTTAATAGAGGAATGTTGAGGAATTAATAGGAGATAATTCTTGACACTTTGACTTCCTCTCCAACAACCATAACAAATACGCCTGCGAGTTGGACCATGTTGAGACCAATACCAGTAACCAAAATACTAAACCATTTATAATTTTTCAATATAAACGTAATATTCTAAACCATATCTAAACTACTAAATATAAAAATGTATTTATACACTAAATTTTAGACTAATGTGTATTTATTTATCGATTTTCCTTTTAAATTTAATGGTTTTGAAGTTTTGTTCGGAGTTTTATCTTAACACTAACATTTTGTCTCCGCCTTCAACTCATTCTGATGGTCACCCTAAATTTCAGGAGTAACTTTAGGTAAAATATTATAGATTATGTATCCTAAAATGAGTATGTAAGATTAAAAACTATAACCTAATAATATAAAATGTAATCTTTTAAATATAGTCAATAATATATATGACCAAAATCAATCACAAATATATCAAAGTTTTTATTATATATCGACATAAGAAGCTTCATTAAAACTCTAGGGCTGGAAGCTGGAGATTCATAAATATTCAAGGCGTCCTAATACAAGCAAGAACTAATAAAACCCTAAAATAAGGTGAAAAAAGTGACCAAAGAACCACACCTCGCTGAATTAGTTGGTTGCTGGGTGGATGGTGTGTCGGCTCCCTGTTTATAGCTTCAAGCTGAGGTAGATGATGGGAGGGATTGTGCACGACGCCACTGTCTTGTTATTTATGAATAAAACAGAGGAAATAATAGAGATCCAAGGGTCTATTTCTTCCCCAAAGACAGAAGAAGGGAAGTTCTTAGTTGTGCGGTTGATTCATAAGCAGTGGCGGTTAAATTACATGTGTCGCCGTCTGTGGCAAAATGCAAAGTTAAATTGACACGTTTTTTCCTTATTTTTTTCCGACAATTTTGTGTTACATATATGGAAAGAGGAGGAAGAACTAAACCCCAAATAAACTATAATAAAGGGAGTTACTCAGTGGATCATAAACTGTGATTAAAATTGTGACCAAGTCCCAGGTTGCTGATCTGACTTCTACCTCATTTTACACACAATTGCAGGGTCTCAATTGTTTCTCTTACTATTGACAACGCAACATTGTTTCTCACTTTATATTTCTATTTTTTATTTCTTTATAGTTCTTTATTATTATTATTACATTTTCGCCCCCCAGGCCCCGATGTGGGTCAGTGACCTGTACCCGGGTGGGCTAATCCCCGTAAAAAACAACAACAACTAGTCAACTGAAAGCATTATATCCACGCCAACCCACATTTATGATATATTTAGTTTATACCTTTAACTTTAATTTCCTTTGATGGGTGATGCTCTTATTTATCAGGTGTTTAGACCCACAAGGGGTCACAACTCAAGATTGAAGAAGCCGCAAGTCCAGAAAACTGTGAGGGCAAACTTTTTCGGAGTGAGAGTTGTGAACTCTTGGAACAATCTACCAGAGAGTGTTGCGACGGCACCGAGTGTGAGCTCTTTCAAGACAAGACTTGACCAACACGAGCGGGTTCAGGTACATTCAGGAGCCGGTGCATGCCCAGTACTTGCCAACGGTGCGTGACAGAGACGTGACAGATCACCCAAGCGGCTAACGAGTCGATCAGTGGTGAAGAGGATAAAAGTAGAAAAAGTTCAACCGCTACCGAAACAGTCTTGGCAGAGAGAGACCGCACGTCTAGAACAAGAGTAACTTTACTAATGAGCAAGTTAATGTGTACAGGTTAATTACTGAAACTATAAAAAATAAATTGATTTACATTAATCTTCGTTTTATATTAATCAAAATATATATTTTATGGAGTGTCCAACAGCCGATCAAAGACGAAGAAGATAAAGGTAGAGGGCAGGAAACAATGCCTCGTCTTATTTGTTACCTACGGCTATGTATTTAAATGCCGTTAATATGCCGTGTGCCGTATGTTCTTTTACACCAGTCACCGTTGTAAGAGCGGGCTGGTTTTCTGTGAAAGATGTCCTTTGAAATTAGTTTACTGTCTTTTTTGTAAATTACAGTAAAACCTCGATAAATCGATTTTCAATATATCAGAATTCGCATTTTTCGGACTCTTGAGATGCTCTGGTCACGGGATACTAAAATAAAATAAGAAATGGAAAAGATTAATAAAAAGATCTTATGAAATGAACAACACTTACTGAATACTGTACAGTGGTCTAATCTGATTTGCTATAGGCCTACTGAGAACTTGAGACTGTACTGTACTAATTTACTAAATGTTGAAGACATTGTGGTAAGCCAATCAGCTGTTTGCTCTTTGTAAACAAATGAATATGAAATGACTCATGGTGTTCTGTGTGGGATTCTATTTTCAGGGAAGCTGGTTGTTTTAGGATAATATTTTATCAACCTGGAACCAAATGATCCTAAATTATATGGGAATTGCATAAAGAAGTGTGAAAAGAATCTTGTGGGAGTTAGGGGGAGGGAGCCACCCACCCCTCCCAGATAAACACTCATCTTCCACATACAATATACTCATACACTTATTTGTTCTTATTTTATCTTTATAGTACTGTACAGTATACAAAGTCTTCTTTATTCATAAGACAAATTCTGTGGTTACTTACATATCACACTTTACAGCAAATAACCATCTTGGTGAAAACAGTTGTTGATAACCAGTCTGATGTCTGATTTTCAACCCAGAGAGTTCCGTTTCATATTTTTTTATTGTTGATGTAATATTCTTGTTGTACACTTAAAGTAATTAGTTGTTGAAGTGCAGTAATAACATAACAGATTTTCTTTAAACGTTCAGATAAGCAGTGTTATCCCCCATATGGTCGCTTTTTTCGGACGGGTCTGCCCCAATTAGTTCCATTTATCGAGGTTCTACTGTATATTGCTTCAATGTAGTTTCTAATATTTTGTAATCATATAATATTTTCTACTTACACAAAGAAGTTTCGAGTTAATATTCTAATTGGAGATGTATTGTTGTTTACATGGGAGACGCTCTCTACTCCAGCGTGTGAGTGTGAGATCAGGGAAGTGGTTCAATCTTGTTTCATCCATTGTATACCCTGCATTTTGACATTAATTTACTCGCTAGCATTTAGGGGTAAATACTAAGTGATACTTCTGTGAATGGAGGAAGAGCCTTATTGTGAGATGAAGATTAATAATTTGCTAAATCAGTTGGGCCACAAGGCCATGCAGTGTCTATGTCTGTACTCTTTGTCTTATTATAAATATAATAGTTGTTATTGTTGTAAATTAGTATTTCTCAGTCTTAACCCAATTTATAAAGAATAGTCTTCCTTGGATGTTTTCTCACAGTGTGTTTGTTAATGTCACTTTCAACTATCAGCCAGAGGTAGCAAGGAGTGTCTACATATCTTGGTCTATTAACCACAGTACGTGAGTCTGATTAATGGGCCTAGGAGTTGGAGCACTACTGTAAGAAGGTTATCCAGTAGTGGCCATGAGTCCATGACGTATAACACACAATGGAAACTATATCGCAATATAACCTGGATTACGTCAATTACTCACGAATCTTTGTCCCCAAATAATTATTACACAAAATATTTACTGGTATTAAAATGCTTGAAATATTAAGTAAATATAAAATACTTCGCAATTTTACATGAAGAATAAATATTGGTAAGTATGGATAAAATAATAAATTGGTGATACTGTCCAAGGGAAATAAGACTTGGCAAATGTGAGTTAAAATACTGCAGTTTAAAGTGAGTGGCCATTTGGTAAATAAGATGTGGTCATAAGAGTACAATATGGTCGTCACCAGCCACACAGTTATCTACCCCAACACCTACTCTCCCTCACCTGTTGGTCCAAGTCTCTCGGGTGATATTGTTGTGTACTGGATGTGTGGCCAGAAGATATCCCAGACTCAGGACGAGGTAGGAGAGAAACTCACAATTGCGTTTTCAGAGAAACTTAGTGCGACTCCAGACGACTACGCTTTGGCAAAATTGACCAAAATATAACCGATATGTAACTCCCAAGTTCCTCCCTTACTGCAGACTACTTTGGTTCCTGCTGTCCCCTGACTGTGTTAGAAAAAAAGGCAAATTTGGCCGGAATGATATAAAATACCAAGTGGATGAATTTTTATTATTAACTACAACTACCATAAGAAGATGCAATGGAATAAAAGGTATCGTCAAAAATAAACAGAAGCAAATAAATAATAGGCAAGTAATCCCCATGTAACATTGCATAGGTTAAAATAAAACACATTAATTCCATTTGAGTTATTTATTAAGGTACAGTTAAGTTCAGCTGTGAACTGAGAGGAGAAAACTGTTTATCAGACGGTTATTGTCAACAATTTGATATAGAACAGACTGCGGGGAAAGGCATCAAGATGTCACGAAATAGCAGTTTTAATCTTGCTTATTGAGTAAATATCATTAAGCTTGATATTATAATGAGTGACGGAGCTATCCACAGTTTAGCTCAAAGGTACAAACACAGAGACCCCTCAGTTGTCATTATTTTCTTGTCTGAATCAAAAACTTATCTATGTTCCAGTGAGAGTTTGTAAAGCACAAGAGTTTCCCCCGAAATGTCAACAACAGCGACAACTGCTTCACCACAAATATCCTACTAATAAATAAAGCTTTATTTTTCACTTTTTTTAAATTAATTTTCTATTTTTTTTAAGTTATTATTGTAAGTTTAATTTATAGAGAGTAAATGAGATAGCCGACATATTATGTACTGCAGATGGTTATATAATACTATCTGCCAGATGTATTTTGACGTTTATCTAAAAGAAAAATGACTATATTAAGAAAATTAATTCCTGTCAATGAAATATATTAATTTATTTATTACTAGAATATGATAATTAAGCGTGGCTATTTTCAACACTTTTATTAGTCCCCCCAGACCAACCGTTGCATAGTACACATTTAAACCTTCCAAACACAGTCTGTTATCTTGTCTTCGTTAATTCTGTCACCAAACTTCATTTTCTTTAATATATTTCACATTATCACAATATATCGTGATATATAAAGCTTTAATGATGGTTGAGAAAGAGAGCACTAAGCGTAACCATCAGAGTTTTGTTTTGTGAAGTCTGCCGTCCAACATGCACATAATAACTTAATTCACCAGTCGCCTCCACTGTCTCCTCTAAAAGTAATCATTAATAGTTGACACAGTGTTAATGGCGTCAGGATAATCTTAGAACGCGTGATTACTGTGGAGATGAGAGGAGCTAACCAGAGGGAAGAGATTGACGCTCATTGGTCACACTTTATTGTGGTGTATCTGTCGTCAGCCAATACTTGACATCCTCTGTACATCTTGCCCATGTTCACGTCTAGAGGAGCTAGGAATGCGATTTGAACAGCACAGAAGATTGTCATATAACAGATCTATATAATATAAAACACAACATATATACAAGTATATTTATATCTCTATATATTATTGAAATCTGAGAACCTGTTAACACGTTACAGGGCTGCATAAGGCCTGTGTAGAAATAATTTGTGTATTTTTATTCTACACGGAGAAAATTCCATTAAAAAAAGACGCCAAATTAATTATCATTGAATTCTTACTTCATTCTCACTTAACCAAACCGAGTACAGTATTATTTCTGTTAGCGCGGTGCAGGTGACGCATATAGGCACTTATGTCAAACAATGTTATATAATACACAGGTAACTATATATATATATATGAAAAATAGACAACAGACCCAATTTTCGCTTAAAATCTTGTTCATATCCATAGACTAAACAACATATGTTACAAAAACGAAACTCTCAAGACAATAATACCGTTTATGAAGGCATCACTTGCGCGTTCTTCAGTCTGAACAAATGAGCAACTTATTCTAAGGTCTTTATACAAAATACAACTGATACAACGTACAGTCTATAACAGTTATACGTCATCAATATACATCTACCCATACACTTGTATATTTATGATGTATTGTTAATGTCCGGATGGTGAGAGAACGAACGCACACACACACACACACACATACACACACACACACACACACACACACACACACTTATATACACACACACACACATACACACACACACAGCCACAATGAAAACTGTGTTCCCATTTAGTCTATTCCGTTATTATCTGTCCCTTTATTCCCATATATATATATATATATATATATATATATATATATATATATATATATATATATATATATATTATTTACCAGATAATAATAATAAACTGGGGTGTCTATTCTTCAGGTGAGTGTTAATGGTGGGAGTAATCTGGTCCCCTGTTGCTATATACACAGACAATAGGTATCCACTGGTGGAATGACGGCATGTGAGTGGCTGAATCGATAAACCAATCAAACACCGTCGTCTCGCCTATGCAATACCTATTGTAGGAACTGCACTATACATGACAACAGGAGGCCAGTTTTCGCCATACTATTAATAAATTATTAAGTCATTCACTGAAAAATTAATAATCACTTGTAATAATAATAATAATATAAAAAACTCCTATGAATAATACAAATCCTTGAATGACGTCACGAATTTACGTCATAATTGCGTAATAGCGGTGAAGACTTCAATAACAACAGGTGTGTTCTTAGTTAACGCTGTGTATGTTTAATTAAGCCGGGCAGGTAACGTGGTGTGTGTGTGTGTGTGTGTGTGTGTGTGTGTGTGTGATCTTCGAGAGACTACAGGGGAAGCATAGGGCAGATCATGTCCTGTACCTGTGTGTTGTAGTAGTAGTAGTAGTAGTAGTAGTAGTAGTAGTAGTAGTAGTAGTAGTAGTAGTAGTAGTAGTAGTAGTAATTAAATGGTGGCGAAGGTGTGGCTATTGGGGGAGGCTGGAGGCCATGTTTCAAAAAAAAAGTAGTAGTAGTAGTAGTAGTAGTAGTAATACACTCGACCTCTCACTCTCACGTATCATTCAACAGGACACACTCATGTTGTTGTTATCATCATCATCATCAGGTGACTGTAAACAAAGTGCTATAATTGTTAACTAAGATGACATACACAAAATATTAGTTCACTGACGTCACACGTGAGGTAAACAACATAGGTGGAGCCGCTTGTATTAGCGACGGCAGACTCGTGACGTCACACTCGTCTCCCTGCACGAAAGAGACACGATTGGTGGTAGAGAGTCTGACGTCACGAGTACACAGACTTGAAGGGGAGGGGTTGTGGGGGGGCTATCTATTGACTAAGGCCAGTACGAAGCTTCACCACTGATAGCGATGTATCACAAGCCCTGGGGTAAGTGCGCTCTTGTGGGGGAGGAATCACTATATAAGACGATGTTATTTTGTTTTCTGTTATGGCAGCTGAAGACGACAGTGGGAGAGGTGTTTTATGGGGAAGAACTTGATCCAGTAGGTAGAGATATCGTGGCGGTGGTGAGGTGTTTGTTGACGACCACGTTAAGAAGAAATATTCGTCTTTCTGTCTGTGGTTTGAGAGACGCAGCAGCAGGGACACTCTGTGGTGGAGACGAGGGCGGGGGTGGCTCCTGTAACCTTAGGTAATGGAAGAGGTGGTGATTTACGTGTTCATGGAAGAAGGTAGTATGAGATAATGAGGTGTGAGGTGACCACGTGAGGGTGACGAGTGAGGAGAGGGGTGAGAATAGCCTCAGGTAGGAGGATGCGGGCGGGAGATGTCGATGGTACGGACCTTAGAGGCGTCGTTACTCAGGAGCTGCAGCTTGGCGTGGTCCGTCTCCGGCATGATGATACACATGAAGGTGGAGCCCGTGTTAGGGTCCCGGGGGTAAATGGTCAGGGGCGGGAACACCTCGCCCGCCTCCACGTACGCCGTCAGCTTTCTGTGGACGTCTGGGTACTGGTGTCGTAAGCTGATGCCTCTCTCCCGCAGGTGCCGCACGATGTTGTTGAAGGCTATGTGTCTGGCCGCCTGAGGTGACGTGTTGGAGTTTGGTATAGGCGCCGACGTCAGTATCAGCGTCTCAGGCTCGTCCAGGTCTCTGGTGATGACGTGACGCTCAGGGCGAGGACTCCAGGTGTCGGCACCCCGAACACCACCTGCCAGCCTCAGCTTGGCACACTGGGACACCACCTCGCGCTCCCACTTGGGCGACGACCCCGTAGGAATCTCACTCATGATGCAGATACTAACATAGAGCACAAACTTATACTCGGTGTTATAATGTTTACAGAGGTCAGTGATCTGTTTATACACCTCCGGGCCAGTCTCCTGAGGCAGCAGGTTCTGTATGGTCAGGTAGTGAGCCTCGGGCACCTCGCCGCCCCCCACGAACGTCTCGGCGGCTTTTGTGTCGTGGAAATACACCTTGACGGTGCCACGTCCCAGGGCGCGGGCACCGCGGCGCGCTACAGCACTTATCCGCTCCAACACCGCGTCGTCGTCCTTCACCCGCGCCGTCACCTGCTTGGCCACGGCCAGGGCTCTGATCTTATTACACTGCCGCTTGTGTCGCTCCCAGTGGTGGCGGCGACACCCCCGCGAGCAGTAGAAGGTGCAGCAGTTGTGGCACATCTTGTAGCTCCTTCGGGCCTCCTCCGTGTCCGCCATCTGGCCACACCCGGGGTTCCGGCACCTCACCATCAGGTTCGACCCGCTCGACTCATCGTCTGCGTCGACTCTGACGTTCTCGTTACCGTTGCCGTTCTCGGAGGAGGAGTCCGGGGGGATGTTCATGTGTCTGGGGGGCAGGTGGAAGGTGACGCGATGCCCTGGGGGCGGTCGAGACTCTATAATGGAGGGCGCGAGAGCTATGACGCTGCTGAAGAGGAGGGCCCCTGTCAGGGGGTCTGCCGGACACGTCGGAGCCACCTCCGGCGCCGCCCTATGTGGAGGTGAGGCGCCCAGCTGATTGACTTGGCCGGGACCTTGGCTGTCGGGAACAAAATGGCTAGGAACATTGGTGTGGTGAGGCTGGTGGTGGTGAGGGGTGGTGTGTACACTGGTGCTGGGGGTGTGGGCTGGAGCAGTGTCACACACAGTTGTCTTGGACACAGGGGGGGTGATGGTGCCACACACCTGCACATCACGGTAACAGGAATGTGTCACTTGGGTGTTGTGGGCGTTGGCCAGGGCGGTGCTGGTGGCCTCCGTGTGTGCACAGTTAGTGAGTATGGAGGAGACTGAGTGGTTAGTGAGAGCCGAGGTGATGGTGGCGTGGCGGGCAGCTGAGGGCCTGGGGTGAGAGAGGGGAGAGGGAGGGTGAATGTTGTGAGAGATGTTGGAGTGAGGCTTGTGATATGGGGGGGCGTTGTTGTTATGGTGTGAGGGTGACACACGAGGGCTGTCACCTGGTGATGGGTGGGCATTCTGTGGGTGGTTAGAGTGGGCGGTGTAAGCGGTGTGAGCGTGGTTGTGCGCAGGAGTGAGGGAGTGGGCGTGTGCAGGCGTGTGGGTGACCAAGGCAGCAGACTGGTGCAGCAAGACGCCCGTCCTATGGTTGGCCTCTGTCATCTGGCGGGCGGTGATGGTGCCCTCTGGTCTCCTCACCTCCAGCGTGTCCAGCCGCCGCGTGGTGGGCGCCCTGCCGCTCAGGTCCAGGTGCACGTGTGAGTGCGCGTGCGTAGTGCGGGCGCGTGAGAGGGTGTGGGTGGTGGTAGTGGGCGGCTCACTGAGAATTTCACCTGTAACATGGCCGTGCGTCAGGCAGAAAAAGGTAGACAGAGATAAAAGAAACAGAAGGAATGTGACAGAGAAGATAGTCTGCTAAACCCCGGGAGTGTGTCAACAAAGTGCCCGCGGGGGACTCACCAGCGGCGCAGTTTGTAAACACAACTTTGTCAACACTGGAAAACGCAATACCGACTCTGTTTACATTCTACAATTTTGTTAATAAACATTTGAAAGGTTCTAAAAATAACCTCGTAACAGTCCAGTATTGTCAACAGAGAGCGTCAATACTGCGTTGTTCCAGACCACAACCCCGGTTTAACACTGTCATGCAGCGCCAATCAAGTGCAGTTAAGGGGGCAGCAGTGCGGCCAACACCATAAAACATTATCATGTGAGTCGCCCCTCGTCATCAACCACCAACTTGTGTCTCAACGACTTAAAAATCGTGGCTATTAACACAGATTAATTGGAGTGTATCATATTACATTAATTCCAAGTCATGTTAGCGATCTATTAATGATATCACACTATGTCATAATAAACATTGGAAAAATACAAAAAGTTAACCCAATTAGAAACTTTGTATAAATATGAAGGATTTAATGTCGCACTTCGATTCAATAAAACATAAAACACTCCTCGGTAATGGAGTAGATTGTGACGTCACTTATAAACAAAGAATGCGATTGGCTCTTCCTAAACCAATTGCGGGGCTTCATTACGGTGAATCTTAACACAATACCAGAAAATTTAGTACAAATTCAAGAGAACAAAAAAAACGTGAAAATCTTATACCATTAGTTGAAAATTCGTTAAATATATCGTTTATTGATCGTGACGTCATTCTCCGACATACCAACCCTGTGTAGCCTCATCTTGGTATATTATCATGATCTTAACAACAGGAATTTCTAGCTCTACAAATATGATGATTGAACTAACTGCTCAATCCTCTGTTTCTTTGTACATTTATCAAACAAGAAACTATAATGACTAAAATAAGAGAAACAATGCTGATTCAAAATGCAAAATATATAATGTATAAAGCAGCATAATTTGAAGAGATGGGCATTCTAACATAGCAAGAATTATTAAGCATGCTGAAATACGGAACACATTCACTGTCAACTAAAAATACTAACCAAATAAATACAGTTATTAGCGGTAAAAAGGTTGTCGATTTGTTGTAAAACCAATGTAGAATTTTGATCGCCCAGGAGTAAGACTTTAGTGAAGGGGGTAACAAAAAGGTGATATTTTCAAGTCAATTGGTTTAGAAAATTATACACAAATTGGATAATCTTGAAATATAGGTTTAATTAGTTGATTTGATTGTTAGTTTAGTGAAATTTATGGATATTTGTAAGTAATTGATGATATTTGGGATATTGTTTCACGTTTGTCGTCACTCCAAGGCGCTTTACAGATCTGCGTTTATCCAAATGATTTATATCCAACACAATTTTCACCGCAGATCAAAACATTATCCCAAGAATCACTGACATGTCCAACACAAGAACAATAAACAGTGGCATCAGTCTATCATCTGTGTGTGTTGTGACGCATCAGTGATCAGGGTCTTGACTACAGATGGAGACTGTCATTTGTTGATAGTTTTTCAGTGTGAGGCGAACAACCTTCTGATAGCGGGCTGAGCAGTTTTGTTTTGGTCAACACTAAACATTAACCACTGATGCTGAGAGGACTGACACAAGCCATCACCTAAGACCCAGATTAATAATATTCTTTAACTATTTAAATTAATGCGAAGAATGGAAGATTTTACATTAATGGAAGTTTTCTGTTGTGGGTTTAATAATAGTCGATCCGTCAAACAGCTGATGATTGAAACTGGATCCATTAATCTCTCAAGGGAGGATAACAATCTGACCCTGAGGATTTTTAACAACCAATTGGGTCTCGTGTTAACTTCTTGGTCTGGTTATGGAATGAATTTATTGTCGATTTCTTTTTTCAACACAACCAATCAGAGGCCAAGAATTGAGGTGGTGTGAGCTACTGAACACAACCAATCAGAGGCCAAGAATTGAGGTGGTGTGAGCTACTGAACACAACCAATCAGAGGCCAAGAATTGAGGTGGTGTGAGCTACTGAACACAACCAATCAGAGGCCAAGAATTGAGGTGACGTTAGCTACTGAACACAACCAATCAGAGGCCAAGAATTGAGGCTGGGAGGGGCTACTTGGGACAAGGAAGAGGTAAGTAAGTGCGGTGTTGACCAAAGAGTGACGAGGGGTGGTGGAGGAGGAGCAGGGAGTGGGGGAGGGGTGGGGAGGGGACGAAAAGCAAGCTGGGTGTTGTTGAGGAGCTGACATAAACATCGAAAGGAGAACAGACACCTATACGGTCCCTCGGTGGCCCCTGTCTGCCTTGGGGCCTACTTCCTCAAGCTGCCCCACCAAAACCTTACCACCAACAGCCTCGTGGGTTCTTCTCAATTCAATTCAAACTCTAGCTTATCTCTCTCTCTCTCTCTCTCTCTCTCTCTCTCTCTCTCTCTCTCTAGGACGAGTATCTTTCACACCCGCTCCTCACAGTGTATTACCCGCCTTGCTGTAATCCTTGGAGTCTGATTAAGAAGAACTCGGGTTAACCCAAACTCCTGAATCAGAGAACGGATATAACTCTACTAGGTTACGTCACCACACACGGACAGACGCCATGTTGGGTCTCTCTAGTGTAAAGTTAACTACCAACACAATAATGGTAATGTCTATAATCTCTACCATACTATAATTATTACAAACTATTACAAAATTATAGTTAAGCTCTTAGTGTAATGTGTGAAACAAAAGTGTGTAACTGTGTCATTAATGTGGAATACGAAACTGTTAAATTAATGGGTAGTTTTCCTGTAGGGAAGTGGCGACCCTCCCTGCTACTCCATCCTTATGTGACGTCACTACTACTTCACCCTTATGTGACGTCACTACTACTCCACCCTTATGTGACGTCACTACTACTCCACCCTTATGTGACGTCACTACTACTTCACCCTTATGTGACGTCACTACTACTCCACCCTTAAGTGACGTCACTACTACTCCACCCTTAAGTGACGTCACTACTACTCCACCCTTATGTGACGTCACTACTACTCCACCCTTATTTACGTCATATCTATCTATCTATCTATCTATCTATCAATCTATCTATCATGTATACTAATGAGAGTCAAACCTTCTCCCCCGTCTACCAGGAAGCGGGATACGAACTAAGGTCTCTTGTAAGGGAGTTGAGAGCACTACCAACTGGGTCAGAACCAACCCGGAACTCTGCCTCAAATAAATAATTAATCACATTTCTAAAGCCTATTTTCCTTCTGTCTTGATCCGGGTTGTGTAATTGATCTTAAATTACTAACTCCTGTGTGTTATTTCTAATCTAACCTAACCTAATCTAACCTTATGTAACTTAACCTAATCTAACGTTCCCAAAACTGACCTGACCTAACCCAATGTAACCAGACCTGACCTAACTCAACGTAATCTGACCTATGCCCCTGTGTTATATTAATACAAGTCCTCTATCCTAGCTCACAGCATAAGGAGTCCTAGCAGCACGGGGGTCCCTTAAGTCGTCCTAGCAGCAACACCCACAACTATCATAAATGTTTGGCTGGAAGGTTTATGATGGCGAGCGACCGTCTTGAGGATCCTTGGCTGAGCGTCTTATAAGAGAGAGAACTAGATATACTTAGCTAGCGTGTGTGTGTGTGTGTGTGTGTGTGTGTGTGTGTGTGTGTGTGTGTGTGTGTGTGTTGTGTGTGTGTGTGTGTGTGTTGGTGTGTGTGTGTGTGTTGGTGTGTGTGTTGTGTGTGTGTGTGTGTGTGTGTGTGTGTGTGCAGCCTTACTCAACATCATGCTTCATCATGTCCCAACCATAAGAAAAAAAAAAAAACCAACGCCACTACAAGCGATCACATCCGCCTGGCGTTTTCCTTCCATTCTTACAAAAAAAAATACCAAAAACTTGGTTGAAGTTTACGCCAGGCGATTGTTCTCCAGTAACGTGTTTGTTATGGTAGGTATACAAAGGTCATATTCCGCTTCATACAGTAGGGAAAATGACCTATAAAGCCGGCGTCTAATGCTTACAGGTGTGTGTGTGTGTGTGTGTGTTTGGTTTGAAAAATTGTCTAAAACTTGGAAAATTACGACCCTATTCCACCTGAGAATAAGATCTAATTTACCATCACAACTTTCCAGTGTGGTCAAGCACTTTCTTCTTCATTCCTTCGTAAATGTAAATAAAGGTGTAGTCCCAGGTACCACTCTGCTGGGTGGAGGTCCGCGTGAGGCCTCTGAATCATACAGTAAAAGTCTTAATAGTTTAGCACAACAACAACAACACAAGGGGTCAGACTTATACCAGAAGCCTTAATAAAGCAGGTGATGCAGTGACTACCTCATGCTGGCCTTAGACACAACCTCCACAAGACACTCAGCAAAGTAGCCTCTGAGACTACGGGAGAATAAGTGTGTGAGAGACCAGAGCTCGTGCCCGGTGAGTCAAGCTAAGCGTGGGTAAGACCGGGAGCTGTCTGTGGCCGGGGCGGATTTGCTGCTGATTCATTGGTCCGCTCTCAGGGGGTAAGGGGAAAGGGAGAGCCAATCAGATGGTAGGAACTAAATCTCCATTAACAAGTGGTAACCAATCAATGTGTAGTTTGGGACCGCTGGTTTACCCTATTGGATATAATGACTGGATAGCTGGCAGGATATTACGTGATATAAATGAATTGGTCTGTAAAACTAGATATCATATTGAATTTCCATCTTACATCTGTTATTTTTACTGGTAGGTGTTATCTTACTGAGTGTAGGCAAGAGTTCGTGTTTGAGAAGACGTTATTAAGTACAGGTTAGGTTAGGTTGGGTTGGGTTAGGTTGGGTTAGGTTAGGTTGGGTTAGGTTAGGTTAGGTTGGGTTAGGTTAGATTAGGTTAAGTTACCATTATGATGTTTAATCATCAGGTGAGACCCTATAAACGACTCCAGGTTAAAAAAATAAATAAAACATCACATCAAATATAAACCACAAATTAAACCTCTTAAGGCAAAAAGAACATCAAAATCCACAATAATCCGCAGCACCGTTCTTGTAGCCAGACGGATACATACATACTAAGAGTGACGTTCGTACACCTCTCTCACCTCCATGTAAATAATGGACCCAGTGAATGTTGACCACCAGTGTTGCAGGCTCCATACACCTTTAACACCTGCCTCCCTTCCTCCCTACACACCTGACAGCATCTATAAATATCTGCCTACACCTCTATACACCTGACAACACTTCTAAACACCTGTCAATACCTGTACACACCTGACAATACCTGTACGCACCTGTCAACACTTCTACACACCCGACAACACCTGTACACACCTGTCAATACCTCTATACACCTGACAACACCCCTGTACACACCCGCTAATACCAGTAAACACCTGCCAATACCTGTACACACCTGTCAACACCTCTATATACCTGCCAATACTTGTACACACCTATCAATACCTCTACGCACCTGACACTGCCTCAACATACCTGACTATACCTCCACACACCTGACAATACCTGTACACACCTGCCAACACCTGTACACACCCGACAACACCTGTACACACCTGCCAACATCTCTACACACCCGACAATACCTCTACACACCTGCCAACACCGCTACACACCTGACAACACCGCTAAACACCTGACAACACCTCTACACACCTGACAACACCTAGGCTAGGTTAGGTTAGCGCTAAGGTAGTTAATCATCAGGTGAAATAAGCTCGCGGGGTTAGGTTAGGTTAGGTGACCCAATGGTTCGTCTGATCCTCACCTGTACAAAGATGCAAACAACTGCATGTCCAGATTCTCCCAGGTGTGTCTAATTAACCTCACACCTGGAGGTATGTGAACGTATGTCTTACTTAACCTAACCTAACCTTACCTCACACCTGGAGGTATGTGAACGTATGTCTCCCTTAAGGTAGTGAACCATGTCAGTTAACTATACCGAGACTCGACTCTTGACGGGAGAAGCACTTTGTTTTGGAGAGAAATTTTCGTTCAGGATAAATTTGTGTTGTTGTGTTTATTTGTTATATTTTGGTATTGTTTGTTTTTGTTGACGTATTACCAGTCACCTTACTCCAGATTATTATTTATTAGAACCAATTTAGTAACGGGGAAAATTTTGGGATATTATTATTGTCTTTCAGTAATAAATATATTCTTTTATGTCAACAGGTTTAGAAGGGGTCAAATATTTGGTTGTCTCACACCACCAGAAAAAAATACAATTTGTGGTGGTGTGGTTGTGGTGGGGTGGGAGTACTGTACATTATTCAGGGTCAAATCTGCCGCCAGCCACACACGGGTCCCGCAGCGCCAGTCCCGCAGTGCGCAACTAAAGACAATACTGGGACACGCAGACATGTAGTGACGTCAGAGGCTGTACCTGAGGGAGGGAGGGGGTGTCGTCGGCGACCAATGGGGGTGAGGGGGGGTGTGGAGGGGAGCTGTGCCGCCTGCCTTCCCTCGCTCTCTCTCTCTCTCTTTTTCTCTCTCTCTAAACTACTGCTTGGTCATTGAACAACACAAGAGGTAATGTCGTTTGGTCCGTGATACTAGACTACCTGTGCTTGGCCTGGAAAAGGTCACAGGTCAAGGGTCACCCTAGAGTCACAGCTTCCTAGAAAGGGAAATGAGTGAGGGTCATAAGGACGCCTTTGTGTCAAGGTAGTTAAGAGGTCAAGAGGTTCATGTTGGCACCAGAGAAAAAGACTTACTCATTCTGTACACTCTATGTCAGCACTCGAGAAATTAACTGCAAATAGAAAATCGTTATATATTGTTTGGTAAACTGTACAGTGACTGCTAATGTTAGTCTTATATTACAACAGATTACAAGATTAAGATCCTCAAGTATTATAATGGTCAGGTAATAATACTATAGAGACCCTAATGTAGTGAACACCTCGACACAACTGAGTACCCCAGCTGGAGCCCCGCCAGTTATGGCACCAATGAACCCCTGAGGGCCTAGTGAGGGCACCCCTGAACCCCTGAAGGCCTAGTGAGGGCACCCCTAAACCCCTGAAGGCCTAGTGAGGGCACCCCTGAACCCCTGAAGGCCTAGTGAGGGCACCCCTGAATCCCTGAGGGCCTAGTGAGGGCACCCCTAAACCCCTGAAGGCCTAGTGAGGGCACCCCTGAACCCCTGAAGGCCTAGTGAGGGCACCCCTGAATCCCTGAGGGCCTAGTGAGGGCACCCCTGATAGCCTCAGTTATCATGTGGATCAGGTCAACTGGACAAGGGAGGGAGCAGACATAAAACATCCCGATGATGACGTCACGCTGGCGCCACAGTAGTGACGCCAGTGTGACGTCACAGAGGGCCGTGAGGGGAGGTGGTGATAGGTCAGTCACAAAAAGCAGAAGCAAACCATCACTGTGAAACTTACTCGGTGCTCTCACCTTCGTCCCTCCCTAGGAAGAAGGACACGGAAGATCCCTCAGACGGTGGAGGGTGTTGGAGGGGGTTGAGGAAGGGCGCCCCCCCTGGTAGTGTGGCGCCCCCTGGCTGCTGGTGGTGGTGGAAGCTGTTGTCGCCGCTGCTGGAGCTGTAGCTGAAGGACTTACGGTAACCCTCGTTCTTGAAGTCCGTGGGGAGGTCGTGGTTACGGAGGTATCCGTAGTGAAGGTGGTCGAGGGGTGCCCCTGGGGCCTGCCCCTGGGGAGGATCCAAGCTCCGGTGGGAGGTGTGGAGGCCGACTTCCTTCTCCTCGTTGCCCCTGGTGAACCCCGGGTGGCTGAGGGGGCGGCCTGGTGGGTGGTGGCTACTGACGGGGCTGGGTGATCTGGAGGCGGAGGGAAGGGCCAAGAGAGAGTCTAAAACATCCTCCAAGGTCGTGCTGTCTGTCAGCTGGTCATGTGAGCTGGGCTGTCTAGTGTCCCCGGTCCCTCCCACACCCTGACCCCGGTACCTGTGCCCCCCGTCCTCATACCGGCTAGGCTCTGAACTAGGGTCCCTGTAAGCCTGCTTCCTCGTCTCCAGGTCTTGTGTTGGAGTGTGGTAAGGGAAGGCCTCGTGCTTGTTGTTCTGATACACGCCTACAGCAGTGTTGTGATAAAGCGTGGGGGCGGGCTGCAGGTCCCCGCTAGAGTGCAGCAGAGGCTTCACCACGTGCGTCGACAGGGTGGCGGCTCCTGAGGGCGCGAGGTCGTCGTCAAACACTCCAGGGTGATGTCGGCTAGACAGCTCGTCAACTTCCGCGCTCCCAGGCGACGCCTGCATGTCGTCTCTGCTGCTCCCTGCTCTACTACTGCTACTTCTGCTGCTGCTGCCCACACTTCCTCTACTGCTGCACCCGCCACTGCTAAGCACACTGCTTCTGCTGTTTAAGCTGTCAATGTTACGACTACTGAGGCCGCTGTTAACGGTGTCGGCAGTGCTGTGTCTGCTGCCTACTGTACTGCGATCTACTGTGCTCTGCCCGCTGTCAGACAGACTGTGCCTGCTCTCTGCTCTGCTGCTGTCACCTATGCTGCTGTCGACGATGACTGCTGTGCTGTCGTTGGTACTGGCCGCTGTGCTGTCTCTGCTGCTGTCTCGGAGGCTGCTGCACGCGCTGCTCAAGCTGTTCACAAGACTTGCCAGCTCTGTAAGACCATTAACTGTTAGTGGCAACACAGAGTTAACATCACCTGTGGTACAACCATCTTTATTTACACCACAGAACCAAAATATATTATACTAAATCACTACTTATCCTCTTAATTAATCTGTCTAATTACCCTATTAATTTATAATAATAATGACGTTACTTTAATAAACACAATTTCATAACACTGATTACGCCATCACAAATGACTAATCATGTATAATTATCTAAAAAAATATAATTGTCTCTCCTGGTAATGAAGGTAAGTAATAAATGAAGAAAAAATATCAACAAAATTATATAAATTAGCATGAGTTAATTATTTCATTAGTAAGTTAGTACTGTATTTACAGGACGATAACTTATTCATTTGCTTCTAAGACAATAACTAATTAATTGAACTACATTATTAGCAGTAAGTAACGTAGACTACTAATTACTTCCTAATATCTTCACAAACAACGTAAAATTCCTCGCTATTGACATATTTCAAAGTAATGTTGTAGGAATCATGGCAGTTACCGCATGCAAACGATACTGACCACAACAAACGCACTGGATGCCGGGTTAGGTGTTGGCGATATCGTACGCTATGAGTAATTGACGGACACTATCGTACAATACCAACCGTATCGAAAAATCTCTATTATTTCACCATATATAACCCAAGCGAGTACTATATAATGCTCTAGGGGATAGTACTCTAGTATATTATTATAGGAGTATAATAATATATGAGAAGAATACCATTATAATGACACAGGTCCATTATGTGACGCTATGCACCACTAATGACATCATAAATCACTATCTATTGACATCAGCACCATTTGACATCAGCACCACAACAGAACAATAACCAAAATAACATCATAACATAAATGACGACTCAATACCTCAATAAATCACACAACTACCTCACATTAACCGCCAAACTATGCAAAGTCAGGTTAGTACAGCCAATGGGAATACGAAAACATATCACATTACACCACCTTATCTCAGTAGAGTATTATAACGTGTTACACCAGATAGTACACACAAGTAGGCTACAGTAGAGTATTATAACGTGTTACACCAGATAGTACACACAAGTAGGCTACAGTAGAATATTATAACGTGTTACACCAGATAGTACACACAAGTAGGCTACAGTAGAGTATTATAACGTGTTACACCAGATAGTACACACAAGTAGGCTACAGTAGAGTATTATAACGTGTTACACCAGATAGTACACACAAGTAGGCTACAGTAGAGTATTATAACGTGTTACACCAGATAGTACACACAAGTAGGCTACAGTAGAGTATTATAACGTGTTACACCAGATAGTACACACAAGTAGGCTACAGTAGAGTATTATAACGTGTTACACCAGATAGTACACACAAGTAGGCTACAGTAGAGTATTATAACGTGTTACACCAGATAGTACACACAAGTAGGCTACAGTAGAGTATTATTATATCACTCATAACACCATAATAATACCCTCAAAGTCTTTTACCACACTACTACAATATTCAAAATCAACCTAACCTAACAAACGCCATCTAGGAAGCCTTATAGAGAGAATGAGTATAAATTCGTGAATAAACCTAACCTAACCACAAAGGGGTGAGGTTAGTAACAGACAGACAGACAGACATCACCATAACCTCATGCATAACTACAAGACGTTACCACACTTGTCCACTGGGCTTCCAAAAAACTTCCATTGAAATTTGTAAATAAACTGAATTTACTTTAACTTAAAATCATCTATAGTTAAAATAATATCGAGTTAATTGTTTAAATTTTTTTTAAATAATAGCAAAGGGTTGTGTTATCGTACTCAAGGGGTTAAGTCATCGTACTCGAGATTGTCATTGTGTTAGGGGTTAAATAAACGTACTCAGGGGGTTAAATCATCGTAATTAAATGGTTAAACAATCGTAATCAAAGGGTTAAATCATCGTAATTAAAGGGTTAAATAATCGTAATCAAAGGGGTTAAATCATCGTAATTAAAGGGTTAAATCATCGTACTCAAGATTGTCATTGTATTAGGGGTTAAATAATCGTACTCAAGGGGTTAAATCATCATACTCTTGGGGTTAAATCATCGTACTCAAGGGGTTAAATCATCATACTCTTGGGGTTAAATCATCGTACTCAAGATTATCATCGTCCTAAAGAGGGTAAATAATCGTACTCAAGAGGGTTAAATCATCGTACTCAAAGCAACACAGGCCAAAAAACCACCCTTAAGTATTAGTGTTTCAAGGAAGAGTTTGGAAGGCCCGGGGAGTCACTTACCACATACGTCTCCCCTCTCCACCACAACTACCTGTTCAGGCTCTTACACGTGTTTCTCTTATTACGTGCTAGAAAATAAACGACAGGTGTTTAATGATGGGGCAGGTGTTTACTGATGGACAGGTGTTTATTGATGGACAGGTGTTATTGATGATGGACAGGTGTTTATTGATGGACAGGTGTTATTGATGGACAGGTGTTTATTGATGATGGACAGGTGTTTATTGATGGACAGGTGTTTATTGATGGACAGGTGTTATTGATGATGGATAGAAAAGTTTGATGGATGGTGTTATAGATGGACAGGTGTTTATTGATGGACAGGTAGTTATTGATGATGACAGGTGTGGGTCAGGTGGTGTTTATTGATGGACAGGTGTTATTGATGATGGACAGGTGTTTATTGATGGACAGGTGTTATTGATGGACAGGTGTTTATTGATGATGGACAGGTGTTTATTGATGGACAGGTGTTTATTGATGGACAGGTGTTATTGATGAACAGGTGTTATTGATTTAATTAGGTGTTTAATGATGGGTAATTAACAAAATATATACATAATTAAAACATCTCCATTTAATGAGGAATTTGAGTTGGTATAAATTTTTAAAACGAAAAATTAAAGTTTTCTATTTATTTTAATTTAGAGTAAATTATATAATTAAAATATATAATTAATAATAATATAATTTAACACAGCAAAGAAAATTATAAATAAATAATTGGTAAAAAATAAGTAAAAATTTTTATTAATTTTTCTTACCAAATCAGTTATGATAAATTCTCATATATATAGAATTTTAATGTTTTTATTCGATAGGTTAATAAGAGTCAATATTCCATAGAAAAATAATGAATAATGACTCGTGATGCTACGTACACACACACACACACACACACAAACTCTATCTCAAACACACACATATAGACACACTCTCCCTCACACACACACACACACACTATCTCTCAAACACACACACACACACACACACATATACATACACATTCTCCCTCTCACACACACATATACATACACACTCTCCCTCTCACACACACATATACATACACACTCTCCCTCTCACACACACATATACATACACACTCTCCCTCTCACACACACATATACATACACACTCCCTCTCACACACACATATACATACACACTCTCCCTCTCACACACACATATACACACAAACTCTCCCTCACACACACACTCTCCCTCACACACACACACACTCTCCCACACACACACACACACACACACACTCACACCATAAATTTATAAAAAACATAATTACATCATTTTCAAAATCCTCTCTTCATCACGTTTGACAATCATCCATTTTTAGTGACGTAATAATTGATCATCCGTGTTCAACCTTTGGCCGCGGATGATAACGGGTATATGGGTCAAGCTATCCTGGGGAATTTTCTGGTCATTGATTGGTTGATTGGGTTGTAGACTGATTGGTTGATTGGGTTGTAGACTGATTGGTTGATTGATTGAGCAGTAGACTGATTGGTTGATTGGGTAGTAGACTGATTGGTTGATTGGGTAGTAGACTGATTGGTTGATTGGGTAGTAGACTGATTGGTTGATTGTTTGGCACCATCTTCCTCACAATCAGCTCCAAAAGAAATATTTCCTTGCCATATTAAACTAAATGTCACCAACTCATTCCTTCAAAATCACGTATTAAAAAAAAGAGTTCCTGGAAGTATCTGAAGTGTTTAGACGCTGAAGAAGGGGACGAAGGTGACTTATTAACTCAGGTGTCTTGTATAGTTCCTGGGAGGAGTTGTCACCGCTTAAGGTACAATACATAGTTGAGACGATACATAGTGAGCCCTTGTATACAGCACCACTAGCGGGGACTTGGAGAATTTTTTTTTCTTTTCACTCTGTTCTTTCGTGTTTATAATGTTCTAGTACAGCATAATGATAGTATATATGTAATGGTATATGTATAACATTAAGTCACCGAGCAGATGATATTTCTTCGTCGTTTAGTTTATCTGGTTGTTAAGTGGTAAGGTGATTAGATCCGTAGGTTTGTTAGTTGTCCCCGTTCCTCTTGTTCTTCTGCAGTATTTTCTTCAGCTGGTAGTTCTTGTGTTTCAGTGTTTGTCCGGGTGTTGTGTCCATGTGTTTGTCCAGGTGAGAGAGATAATTCCCCACGTCGGGTTATTGTTGAAAATAACGTTCACCTTAGCGGGGACCAATGATCTGCACGTTCTTCAGGCTGTCCTAAGGCAACCATACGGTCCCCACTCAGCCCGCGGACAACCTCAGTACCCCGTCGATACCTGAAGAAGTAATAAACCTCTTGAAGACGAGGAGGAGGTTTAGCTTCTCAGGAGAGGTTAGAGGATAATCCCTCTCAATGATCACCTGGTCCTGTCGTCTACCTTCTCTGGACTGGGTGTGTGTAGTGACTATATTAGCAGGAGGCGTAGCAGTAGGACTATAGGACCTCTTTACCTATTATAGAGAGAAGTTTGCTGCATTGAAGGCCACGCCAGACCCAGAGACGTGGAGGGAGGGGGTCATGTCACATCGCTGGCCGGCTGTAGTGAGCTGTACGGCGGCTTTGTGACCCTATTCTCTACAAATTAATATGATTTCCTAATAACTTTTCAAATTCCTGGGAACTTTAACAACTGATTGGGTTTCATATTTACTTGTTACTTATATTCTCAATTGGTAAAATTACCTTGAGGTTGTTCTTTAATTACTGTTTATTTCGATAATTTTTATAAGTTGGTCAGTTTCCCTACAAGCCGTTCTCTATGATAAATAGTATGGTGGTATCTGGTAACTCCTCTCTTGGGGGAGGGGGGATGGGAGGGGGGAGGGGGGAGGGAGGGGGCTTCTTTGGCTGCCCCTAAATCATCTGACTCACCATTTCATGCAGACGTTCGCCTCTCACACCCGACCTAACTAATATCTACAGCAGTTCAGTTGTTTGTTTATTATTATTATTATTATTTATTTAGTTTCTGTCCTTCATTCATCTTTCAACGTATATAATTAATCAGCTTACTCCACCAGCTTGGGGGGGGGGAGTGTTTGTATGTTCCAGGTATAGTATCACCTGAAGATTAGCCCCCCCCCCCAACAGCTTATTTCACCTGATGATTAAACACCCTAATGCTTCCAGGGGATTAGGTTAGGTTAGGTTAGGTTAGGTTAGCTAAGGTAAGGTAAGGATCGTCTGTTAGATACCCCAGCTTATTTCACCTGAAGATTAACCACCCTAACACTAACTTAACCCCACCTAACCCCCCAAGATAGGGTAGTTAATCTTCAGGTGGTCTTTATTGTATAGAACAATCTGTAGTTAGTGAATCATTAGACCACAGCAACAATTGTTTTCAAGGTGGAGTACAGTACAGTCCACACTTTATAAAGGAAGATAGGATAGTGTCCAGTGAACATGATATTAGTATGAACAGATGAATTGTCCAGTGAACATGATATTAGTATGAACAGATGAATTGTCCAGTGAACATAAGTATGCATATATGAATTGTCTAATATACATAATAGTATGCACAGATGAATTGTCCAGTACACATGATAAAGGGTGGAAACTTGATTTTGTCCAATGAACTTGAAATAAGATGCAATAATGAACTGGACAGCAAAAAACTTACGAGAAAAATCATGCAAATAAACAAAATCAAGCAGGTGAGGGGCGGAACAGCAGGTGAGGGGCGGAACAGCAGGTGAGGGGCGGAACAGCAGGTGAGGGGCGGAACAGCAGGTGAGGGGCGGAACAGCAGGTGAGGGCGGAACAGCGGAACAGCAGGTTCTATCATAGGTCACACAATTATACACAGGGGTGTCTCAGTCACAGTCACACATCATACTGTACAGAGTGTCTCATAACCCCACACATCATACTGTACAGGGTGTCTCATAACCCCACACATCATACTGTACAGGGTGTCTTCATAACCCCACACATCATACTGTACAGGGTGTCTCATAACCCCACACATCATACTGCACAGGGTGTCCTAACCCCACACATCATACTGCACAGTGTCTCATAGATCACACACATCATACTGTACAGGGTGTCCCTATAACCCCACACATCATACTGTACAGGGTGTCTCATAACCCCACACATCATACTGTACAGGGTGTCTCATAACCCCACACATCATACTGTACAGGGTGTCCAAACCCCACACATCATACTGTACAGGGTGTCTCATAGATCACACACATCATACTGTACAGGGTGTCTCATAACCCCACACATCATACTGTACAGGGTGTCTCATAGGTCACAGTCACACATCATACTGTACAGGGTGTCTCATAACCCCACACATCATACTGTACAGGGTGTCTCATAACCCCACACATCATACTGTACAGGGTCTCATAACCCCACACATCATACTGTACAGGGTGTCTCATAGATCACACACACACCAAAGGAAAATCAATACTCTTCTCAAATTTAGTTTTTCAGATAAGTAAATACTAAGAAATGAACAAAAATAACTCAAATGACCACTAGAGAGAAAGAATCAATTAAATATAAACATAAAACCCAGATCCTCCCCCCCCCCTCATAAAGCCACGACACACCTGGAGTTAATTATCCATGTAAACATTTCCGGTATGAGTGTAATACTGGCTGGGTAATACTCTACTAGAAATGTATTTTGGGTTTTAATTCATTTCACAATCATGTTTCTCAGTTCTAAGGTTTATAATATATATATTATTATAATAATAATAATAATAATAGTACTTGTAGTAATAGTAATAATAATAATAGCACCTGTAGTAATAGTAATAATAATAATAATAGCACTGTATACCTTAACTGCAGCTTAAGGAAAGGTCTGATATAATTACAATATTAACAAAAGCAGGCAAAAAGCTCAAATAAAATCATATACAGTATATATAAAAAATAAAAAAATAACTTACAAAAAATAAAAGAGGGGAAGCAAAACGAAAGTATAAACAATATCTAGATATATTATCTTAAAAACAAAACTATGTACAATGACAGGTGATGTACAACACCCTCACTCACAGATACAACTTTAAACATGCATTTACAACGTCCCAAACTACTTAATATATAAGAGTTTTGCTAAATCTCCCTAAATAGTTGGGACTCCTGCCAACTTTCTCAGAATCAGTGCCTCAAACACGACAATAACACTCATAGTATGTATATATTTATGGATAAGGCACAGTATACATAGGAGGGGTAAACCATATGTGATTTAGGCACAGTATACATAGGAGGGGTAAACCATATGTGATTTAGGCACAGTATACATAGGAGGGGTAAATCATATGTGATTTCATTGTTATGTTATGTATATCACCACATTATTTCACATTATAGGTTTATAAAACATCATAATTTTTTGTGGATTTTGTGAATTTGAGGATAATATACTCGTAAATCACCTTGATCATTATATCACAACACACAGTTAATTCTCACAGGTGTACACTAATTGAATTCACACAGGTGTATACTAATTGAATTCACACAGGGGTACACTAATTGAATTCTCACAGGTGTACACTAATTGAATCCTCACAGGTAAACATAATCCTGAACAGGTGTACACAAAGGAGTTCTGACAACACTGAACCATTAGAAATATTCACCAATAACCACTAAGTTTTTTCCCACCATTTCACGACACCATCAGATATAGAGGCACTGTCCCTAAGAGAGTTGGGTCCTAATTCAACTTCACCAATACACTATCTCACAGTGAGGAGACTCTAGACAATGCAACAACAACAACAAGTAAATTCCCAGGTGGTCATGTTGTGATAAATTACAACTTTGTTATTTAATCATAATCACAAACAACAACTTTGATCTATATATTTTTAAAAAACTATATAAATTTTAGCTTTTTTTTTGTAATCAAGTCTTATTAACCAATCTCCCTAATTTTGACGTTTCCTTCAATTATATAAAAAATCAAGTATTATTTCAAGCATAAAGTAACAAAAACTCAAAGTAAATGACATAATAAAAACAGAATTCCTGGTGTGACATCAAAATAAATGCTGGTAACTAAGGCAGTGAGAACAATATTAAATTAAAATACGGGAATATAATTACATAATATTATAAAACAAAATAAAAAATAAAATTAATATAACTTCCTGGTGACAGAAGACCCCTTAATGTGTGTGTGTGTGTGTGTGTGTGTGGCCAGCCTCTAGGTGTGCTTAGAGTCTGTCATAGTACTCTTGGACACATCTGCCAATAGTACTCTTGGACACATCTGCCAATAGTACTCTTGGACACATCTGCCAATAGTACTCTTGGACACATCTGCCAACAGTACTCTCAGACACATCTGCCAATAGTACTCTTGGACACATCTGCCAACAGTACTCTTGGACACATCTGCCAACAGTACTCTTGGACACATCTGCCAACAGTACTCTCAGACACAGGCACTAATACTCCTCGTCCCTCTGCTCACACAACAACAGGTAGATGACACTAACTGGGGCTGAAACACTATTGACTTGATACCACCTAGGAACTCCGGGACAACAGTTATACACATTAAGCAGAGGCAATTGGGACATTATGAAATACAGCCTTCAAAAGCTATGAGAAGTTCTAGCCAGTTACAACAAAACTTTAGGTAAATGATACAAAGCGTCTCAAGGGGGGGAGGGGGCAGTTCACTCACGCTAGACTTATCCTGACACACTTAAGCAACGGTACATTTCTCTGGCTTACATATCAAAGGATAACATGAATCTGAAACATTGGCTAACAAAATGCTGTACTTTACTATACTGCACCGTACTGTACTGTACTGTACTGTACTGTACTGTACTGTACTGTACTGTACTGTATGGGCAAGTAATGACCTGTTTTATTACACGTAACTGTGACAAAAATTTTTGGGGAAATGTTTTATTGTGCTGTTGATACCCAGAGGGCGACACATCAGATAGCAGGAAAATTGAAAAATGACATCATTACCTGCGACACAAGTCATGAAAATGCAAAGCTTCCAGGTCATGCAACTTGCTTCTTCTATAGAGGAACAAGTATCATTTCATGCAAGCTAAAATTAGCACAAAAATATGAAAATAATAATAATAAACACAGCATTCTTAAATATGGGAAAGAAATCTTAAAGCGTCCAAACAATGTACACTATGTACACTTTGGCTTCAGTGGGCAAGCCCTTTACGTGGTGTGCGGGTCAAACCTGCGTCAGGCCACGTGGCAGGTCACCAGGCCAGCAGGTACTCACCCGGGGGCTGTGGTGGCCGGGGGGTGGCCTCGCCGGACTCTGGCATGTCGTGGCCATTGAGCTGTGACGTGGGAGTGATGGCGTGGGAGGAACTCGTCGGGGTCTCGGGGGAGGTGATCGGCCGAGAGCCCACGAAGGAACTCTCCACCCAGACCAGACGTCGGGGCGAGGGAGCCCTTCCTTCTGGCCTCGGAGACCCTCTGGGAGACGCCCGTGGGGAGGGCGTAGACTCATTACAGTAGTGTACGATGGCTGACGTTACCTCCTTGATGGAAGAATGTACATCAGCAACATCAGTAGGGACTTGCAACTTGATGTTACCATTTGTGCTGCCTTCATCATTCTGTTCTTCATTCTCTGGCTTTGGTGTCGCTACGTTTGCCTCGGCCGATGAGTTCTCCTTGTCCTGCGCGTTCACTGGTGACTTAACAAATCTGTGGCTGTAGGCGGTGATGCCGAGAGCTAATCTGTCAGCAGCAGTTAAATAGGAACCAGTGTTGGTGAGTGAGGACTGAGACCCAGCCAGCGAGGCTAACGAAGTCTGTGACCGCCACCCGAGGTACGGCTGGCGGGTGTAGGTGGCGGTGGACTTGGTGGAGGTGACGGAGCCGGTGGGCGTGGTGGTCCCGGAGTTGAGGCGAGACGTCGACCACCGGGAGATGGGGTACTGGAAGAGGGAGCCGCTACGATCACTGGGGGAGGGAGAGATGGAACAGTTGGAGGCGGGAGAGGTCACCCCCCCTAGTCCTGTCATACCCCTGGTGGTCACACGGGTGGGGATGACCACCTTGGTGGGGGTGTTGGGGGTGTGTGCCCGAGACGACCCTAGTGAGGTCATTGAGGCGGTCTTGGAGGAGTAAGCTGACCAGCCTCCACCGCCTCCTGATGTAGTACTTGAACCATAGTCACGACGACGGAGGAGGAACCCTTGTTGTTGAGGCTGGGCGTTCTTCATCCATTCAGGAACGTCCAGACGCTGCAGGGAACGACGCACCCGCAGCTCCGCCTCCGACAGCTGCCGTTCTGACCCCTTCATCAGCTCGTTCTCAGGAGGCTGAAATATAACACGGAATTAACACCCATCCACAACACAACCCACACCAGTACCACTAACTACATGCTAAACTAATCATAACTACACGAACTCTAATAACATAACTCATTCACTTACTTCATAACTTAAGATTTAGTAACTGTATATAAGGCATCCTGTGATAAGAAGCAGCCGAATTACTGATAGGAAACAAAAAAAATCAGGTATAATAAATCCTTCACTATAATACTTTACATTAGAGCACTATTACCAAACAGCTATTATAATAAGCTCACAGGCTGGCCCACAGGCTGGCCCACAGGCTGGCCCACAGGCTGGCCCACAGGCTCAAGCTTCTCTATAAGACTCAGTCAATGGAGGTTTATAAGACCCTCTCTATCACGGTCTGTTTCCCTGGATACATTAGGAACTGACCCCGACTTTGAGTTACCTGGTGATTTATTTTCTCAATGACAGACAGACAGACAGAAAGAGAAGACAGACAGACAGATACAGAGACTAGACAGATACCTGGTGATTGATGATCTAAAACAGCATGACCTTCATCAATCACCAAGAGCCTCTGATGCTGTTTTAAATGAAAGATAAATCACCAATTTTTTTTTATCGCACCTCGAGGACTTAATCAGTTTCCCAAAGTACCTAAGACGACCAGGTGACAAGCGCTGACGACTCCCAGTGCAGGAACCACACAGCAAAATTGACACAAAAAGCTATTTTATAAAGGAAAACAAAGGGAAAAAATGGGGGGAGGTAATTAAGGGGTCGTTTTAAGGGGGTCTAATGGTGCCACGATGCTTTGTGTGTGTGTGTGTGTGTGTGTGTCTGTGAGAAAGAGTTACTGTGTGTGTGTAAGTAACTTAGTTCAAAACATACCCTTAGACACGATCCCTTAAATAAAAAAAAAGGGGGAAAAGGGGGGGAGGGGGGGGGTAGGGGTAAAACCAAACCAAACAGCCATACCAAACTCATCACCATGTTGGATCAGGGAAACACAAACATCAGTAACCAAAAGCACAAACAGGAATGGGATCACCAAACACTACATTAAATTGCAAAAATAAAAACACACTCAAAATCATAACAAATTAAAAACACTACATTTAATCGGAATAAAAAAAAACAGCTACATTCAATCGTAAAAAAAATAAAATAAATTGACAAAAATTGTATAAAATGATAAAAAATTGAATAAATTAATAAAAAAATCAATCAGGCGAACGGATAAACAACCAAAGAGATGGAACAAATTAATGCAAAATTTTTCCCATATTTGAAAACTAAAACAAATGAGGATCACCTGAGGATTAGTCACCCCAGTTTATTTCAGATCAGTAATAGAAAGATTTAACCCACTTAAATGTTAATAAAATATAAAATAAGTTGTAAATAAAAATACACATTAATTAACATAACCAAAGAGCAAAAAATAATGCAAAGTTAAGCAAAAAATAAAATAATAAAAATCTTCCCATTGCCAAAAAAATGATAAAAAATAGCAAAATTCAATAACCAGTTAATTAAAAAAAGCCAAAAACTCACATAGAAAATTTTAAACCTTTTCCAAAAATTTCTCAAAACAGGTAAATAAAAAGATTAAAACTTCGTCAAACGATAAAACCAAAAGAGGTGACAACACAACACAGGGAGGGAGAAGGTGTGCAGCAAACTGAACCCTGGTTGACGAGTACCACGAGATGAATCACTGAATCCTTTATATAATACTGAGTCATTTGTTTCACGGTCATATTAGGGGTTCATAGTGTGTGTGTGTGTGTGTGTGTGTGTGTGTGTGCGTGCGTGAATGAGTGAGTATTAAGCCAAATTGGAACCCTTCATGAGCCCATCGAAGCAGATGATCCGAACCAATCAAAATCGAACCCGAACGAGCCCTAACTATCATAGACTCATTGAGGTTCGATTAAATTGATTCACATCATACTGAATACCGAAAACAGTTATACTAATCCATCCGTGGTACTTTCCCCAACATTGTCCTTCTTGCCTGCGTGGAGGAGATGGGGAAGGAGGAGGCAGGGGGTCCGAGGGAAGGGGGGAAGGGTAGGGGTCTGAGGGAAGGGGTAGGGGGGGGTCTGGAGGAGGGGAGGGGTCTGAGAGGGGAGGGTTCTGAGGAGGGGAGGGTTCCAGGAGGGGGGGGGGTAAGAGCCCGAGGGAGGGGGGTAAGGGTCCAAGGGGGGGGCAGTGCCGAGGGAGGGGTAGGGAGGTAAGGGTCCAAGGGGGGGGGAGGGGGGTAGGGATCCGAAGGGGGGGGTAATAATATAATGTTAAAATATATACCAGCACAGGGAGGAATGAGGGATGACACAGCAGCTCTATAGGACATGCCACTTACTGTGCTCCTATTATTAATTGTACTTATCAACTACTGAACCTGCCTCCAACATCAGCTGGCACTGTAAAGATAGAAGGAACGTCACAGTCACTGTAAACACGAGAGAGAGAGAGAGAGAGAGAGAGAGAGAGAGAGAGAGAGAGAGAGAGTCATACAAGATGGCTGTTGTTTACAAATGCAACAATGAACGCGATCGCTAAGACCATTCGTGATTGATGATATTATTATTATTACTACAGGTATTTTCAATATTATTATTACTATTATCATTACTATTATTATTATTATCTGAACTAAGTAAGCCAACACGAATCTGACCTAACCTATCCTGGCCCAGTGAAGTCAGGGTTAGGTTAGGTTAGGTATTATCAGTGTACAATTAATGGTCCAGTGTTGTTGTTGTTTGTTCAACAGTGACCATCTTAAGAGTTATATATACCTCAAGATCTGACAGTCAGGAAATAAATAAATAGTTATACAAAAATAATACAAATAAATTAACTGTAATTATATTTGTCATTTAATTGTTATTTAGGAGTAATTTATCCCTACTAATTACACTCACTAATTAACTCATCAAGACTCACGTTATAAATTAATTAAAAACTAATCGATTATAGATCAAAATTATACCAAGTTAAATTTTAAATAAAATAAAAAAACGTAAATTTATCAGTTTTATGAAATTTTTAATGTAAATAAAAAAAAAATTTACACCATTTTGACTTTGTAGTTATTTAAAGGTTAAAATAACCATGAAAGTTAACTTTGGCGTTTACTGAAGATAATACACAAGAGTGACCCATAGTTGAAGATAGTTGTTAGTGAAGACACTGTATTGTTATATGGCACTGAATTACTGTTGGTGTATTGTTAAGTCCCGTGATGTTTGTGTTTACAGAGTCCTTTAATGTTTGTGTTTACAGAGTCCCTTCATGTTTGTGTTTACAATATGGTTTTTACATAGTTATTACATAGCCTTCTGCGCTAGATAAGGTTTGGTTGGAAATGGTAGCGTTTGGGTAGGTAAAGCTAGGATAGGGTCAGCTATGAATTGGTTAGGTTAGCTTAGGTTAGGTTAGGACTGTGAATCGTTTCTGTTAATTTAATCACCTTATCACTGCCCTTCGCCCCCCCAGTTCGCATTGCATGTTGATCTCTCTATCCCTCTCTCTCGTTATTATTACAGTGGCAGTAGTAATATTTTATTAGAAGTAATGTTAATACTACTAATACTACTACTACTACTAATAATAATAATCAAACAGGCTCTGATTCACCTTACGCACACACACACACACACCTGATTGGCTATCGTCCGACTATCAGATAACCGACCCTCCCAACCAGAGCTCTGACCTGGTGAACAATGCCCATATCAGCTTGAATTACGTAAATGCTAACAAATACGGAGGAAATGTCTGTTTTTTTATTAATATTACCTAAAATGAGTCACTGTGGCATAAAATGGGTCAATATTGTTGTGGGTTAGTCGGTCAAGAGAGATTATTTTACCCATTACAGCCCATGCCTACCATAGAGTTGCGCTTGCCGATCTTCACGTGGCCACCAGCAGTGCCACCAGTGTCTCGATGCCGTACTAATTCCTCCATCGTCATCTCCTCCCACGAAATCATAACTTGTGGATTCATTTTTTTTAATACACACACAATCCGGTGTAAATAATCTTCAATAATCACGTCAACAAATTATATAAGCAATTATCATGAATTTTAGATTATTAAGAGGAAATTACACACTTGATATCAAATTATAGTATAGTAATTATTCGCCACATTGCCATATAATCACTTAAAATCACCGATAATTAGTACACAATTATCTCCCATCAATAATTTCCATCTGATAATTTGAGACTATGAATCAATCAATAATTAAGCACAATAATCAAGAATACTAGGAATTATTTTAAATATTAACGGGATTATCTTCAACACACACACACGAGAATGTCACAAGTCAGCCACAAGAACTCGGTCAAAATTCACATCAATATCCTGAGGCGTTTGGGAGTTATTAAACGTTTGTAGTGATGATGGTAGGTCGGTGTAGTGAGCGGGTAGAGAGCGGGTAGTATCCACAGCGGCCGGGGTTGAACTGAACTGAACTAGCCAGCCAGACAATGTGATATGTGTAGCCAGTCTGGCGTCTCTCGTCGGCTCGAGTATTGTCATTATCACGCGATCTTTCCTACACTACCACACTAAACTTAATCCACATATCCACCTGACCTTAATCCACACATCCACCTGACCTTAATCCACATATCCACCTGACCTTAATCCACATATCCACCTGACCTTAATCCACATATCCACCTGACCTTAATCCACATATCCACCTGACCTTAATCCACACATCCACCTGACCTTAATCCACATATCCACCTAACCTTAATCCACATATCCACCTGACCTTAATCCACATATCCACCACAATAACTAACATTTAATAACCAAACTATAGGTTATTGACTCCGATGATAAACTACAAAAATTAAGGTGGTTTAATTAATTTATTCAATGGTATATGATGTTTCCGATGTGTCAGTGTTACCAAGTACTGCTGGATGGAGCTCCTTAAAAAAATCATTAATTAACTCTTTATAATTAGATGTAAGAGATTAATTAGGCCAAGATTAAGGTAGATTGAGAGGGAGAAATGGAGAGGTAATAAGAGGGAGAGAGAGAGAAATTGAGAGGTAATGAGAGAGGGGGAGAGAGGGAGAGGGGTTACATTAATGTCTGGCAACACTGTATCATATCTCTTATCTTGTCGTGCCTCAACCCCCTCACCCCCTCTCCTACCCCCTGACCCCCCTAACACCCCCTGACCCCCTCACCCCCCTCCTACCCCCTCACCCCCTAATAACTTCTGACCCCTCCTACCCTCACCCCTCCCACCTCTGACCCCCCTAACACCCCCTGACCCCCTACCACACTTCCCACACCGTAATAGTATCCAGTCATCTCTCGTGTCAAAGGTCAAGTGTGTGAGCCGGACAAATGCTCTCTATAACGCCTTTGTTTACATGGGCATCAAGATCACCTGAAGATTAGACACCCTAGAGTTAATATCACCAGTAGATTAACCCTTCAACACTAACTTAACCTAAGCTAGCCATCCAAATACTAACCTAACCTAACCATCCTAACACTAACCTAACCATCCCAACCCTAACCTAACCCAACCACTCTACAACCAACACGAAGCTACCAGGATAACATTTCAATTATAATAGAAAAAAACCCACAATGGTAAGGAGTTGCACACACAGCGTTCGTCTGGGATATAAATACACTGCTGGAAGACCCATCAGTTTCTTACTCACTAGACGGAAAATTACTCAGCAACACACGACCGCAGCGCCTCTAGCGGAATGCACGTGAAACACAATTATAAACAAACCCAGAATCTCGGGTGTTTTTGTTGGATTATATATTGTTGAAATTATCATATGTTTAACATGTAAAAAAAAACAATGAAATGAAGGGATAAAAACGCCAAGATAATATTAAAATAAAATAAAAACACAAAGGCAGGAATAAATAAAAAAAAAAAATGTAAAACAAAATATAAATTAAAACGAAAAACACCAATAAAAACAACGATAAACGTAAAATAAAAAAAAGTAAAAAAAAGTAAAAAAACAAACTAGGGAAAACGCAAAATAAAGGCACAAAGTTAAAGAGAACGAGACAACACACACTAGGGTCCCGCCGCCTCTATCAGGGAATAAACAACTGAAATTGACAGAAACAAAGAAAACGGGAAATATACACAAAAGAAAATGGACGTTGATTGTGGTGGTGTGGTGTTGATTGTGGTGGTGTGGTGTTGATTGTGGTGGTGTGGTGTTGGTTGTGGTGGTGTGGTGTTGATTGTGGTGGTGTGGTGTTGATTGTGGTGGTGTGGTGTTGATTGTGGTGGTGTGGTGTTGATTGTGGTGGTGTGGTGTTGATTGTGGCGGTGTGGTGTTGATTGTGGTGGTGTGGTGTTGATTGTGGTGGTGTGGTGTTGATTGTGGTGGTGTGGTGTTGATTGTGATGTGTCGTGGTGTAGATTGTGGTGTTATGGTGTTGATTGTGGTGGTGTGTGGTGTTGATTGTAGTGGTGTGGGTGTTGATTGTGTGTGTGGGTGTTGATTGTGATGTTGTGTGTAGATTGTGGTGGTGTGTTGTGTTATGGTGTTGATTGTAACGTTAATTGTAGCCTTTATTATGGCTTCTTCACCACCATCATTGAAAAACACACACACACGTACACACACCAGACAGACAGACATACAAACAGACACAAAATTTTCAACAAAAGTCTTAATGCCATTCCAATACAGCTCTCTCTCTCTCTCTCTCTCTCTCTCTCTCTCTCTCTCTCTCTCTCTCTCTCTCCACTGGGGTTTATGGCTCCAGTATTAACGCTCTCACTTCCTCTCACTCCACTCCATGAGATTACTCCCCCGGCTCTTCCCTCTCTTCTTCTCACCTCTCCTCCCTCTCACTGAGTCTCTTTTCCTTCTCGCTGTCTTGCTCTCCCCCCTCTCATCCCCTTTCTGTCTTCCTCTCTGGTATGTACTTTAAGGTAGGCCTACACCATGAACCCTGAAGTAGGCCTAAGGCTTATACTTTGGGTGTAGGCCTATGACTTGCTGTTATGAAGCCGAGAGAGAGAGAGAGAGAGAAATTCATACCACCTAAACAAGACCTGGACACACACACACACACACACACACACCAGTTGGGATAAAAATCTTTCTAATGCTCATCATCTCACCCCCAACTCCTCCCCCACTTCTTACCCCACACCCACCCACCCTACACCTGCTGCACACCTGTCAATCTTCACTACTAAATTACCATCAATCTACACCTGTCAATCATTAGAACTAAATTACCATCAATCTACACCTGTTACATACCTGTCAATCTTCACTACTAAATTACCATCAACCTACACCTGCCACACACCTGTTAATCATCAGTACTAAATTACCATTAATCTACACCTGTCAATCTTCACTACTAAATTACCATCAACCTA